CAGGCGGCACCTCCCCCTCTGGCGTATACGTGCGGAACTTGGTCTTCGGCAGCGCATAATCCTCAATCCTGCCCACCTTAAGCGGTTCAGACGCACCCGGTACCGCGGCCATGTTGCGGATCGAAGGATCCCAAGGCAGCGTATGGGGTGGCGTCAAGTTGGCCAGCTGCTCATTATGGAACTTGACGTACTCCAAATCGAGTTTGGAGATGAAAGACGGGTGGATAGGTTGCTTTGCGGCGGCGCTGGAAGTCATTGTGGTGGCGGTTGAGGGCGAACCGTCTGCGATAGGCCCCCTCTTTACGGTAGTGCAAGCTTGAGATGACTCGGAAGATATCATACGGCCCGCAAGAGGCAGCAGAGAGGTCACCTGGTACCCAGGCCGAGGTCGGGAATGATGCTGGGTAAATCTCCATCTTTGAAGGAAAATGCTTGCAGAGAAATGTCCATGGCTATTTTTAGGTAGGCAACCGTTTGCCACTGGGAGGCGATGGCCGAACGCAAGCCTAATAAGATTCATAGAGGAGAAAGACATGGTCATTGAGGTACGGTATTCTTGTTTGTCGTGCTGGAATGACTGGTATGGAGGTTGAAAAATAACGGCAGAAACCCTCTCGACTTGTGAGTATGACTCGAGGAGCCTTCTTGCTCCGGACGGTGTGCCACTTCTTCAGGGAAAATCATTGACTTGACTTGAGTGCAATTCACGAACGGTGCAGCATGACGCCGTCAGAGCACTCGAACTTAACGTGAAGGAGGGTTTCCGCAGCCAATCGACCCCTTTCGTCAACACACTCGCTGATGTAGTCTTGAGATTATGAACAGGTCGCCGTGTTTCGTTTCTCTGAATTCATGAATATCATTCAGTGCTTGGGGTTGGGGTTCGTGTTCGTAATGACCTGTTTCGATTAAGCGAGCATCTAGGATGCCGATGAATTTGTCGAAAATCCTGCGAACCTCGAGCTTGAGGCGTCGTCGTAAGCCATGACAACGGGGCGCATACATTTGTGCCGTTTCTCTGTTTAATCGACCAAGACAATATTTGTGCATTCAGGCTTATGTGTCGTGGGTGAAAGCATCTGTACGATGTCATGCTCTGATACGATACACGTCCTAGAGGCGGTATGCCGTCCTGGGCTGGAATTTTTTGAGAGCCGTGTCAAAGTCCTCGACGCCGGCTGCTCCGCAGAGTTTGCTGGTTCTTCGGTCTTCTTTAGGTGCATGGAGATCCGCGCATGGGGCGCCGCCGTAAGTGGATTTGGAGACGTGGTTCCGCCAGTTTCCGGATGAAAGATGGGCAGCCTTGCTGTACGAGTAGTGAACTGGCATTTCAGCTTCGCAGAATAAAGAACGGAGAGCCGACGGATCCAGGAGAACCAGAGGTTCCGCAGCCCTAAGCGGGTCTGTAGATAAAAGGGGCTCCGCATTATCTTGAGAGTGTCGTCTTGAGCCTTGTAGCCTTTTATAAAAAGATTCGGGGCACCTCCAGGGATGGTGCATGATTCGACGATCATCCCGTCTGCGGAAGGCATGTCGAGCCCATGCAAATGGTCGAAACTAGTCGCACCAAGTAGGCCAGATAGTCCTATGATCGTCGACCTGTCAGTGATGTTGATGAGGGTCAGAATCGCCTGGTCGAAGAGAACTGTCGATGTTGCTAACGATGATCGAGAAGGATGCAGGTCCATAGAGCTCCAAGAAGATTGAAGTTGGTTGGCTAGGCGTCGCGTATTAAGAGCCAGATGTCAAAATTAGCACGTTTCATCTCGGAAAAAAAGTCGTCTTGCCTCTTTCCACTGCAAGCAGGAGAGACGCGTGGAACAAGTTCAGAACGCCAAGCCATTGTGGTATTGGCTATAGGACACGTGATCGCGTTCGTGGTTACAGGTGAGCAGAGCCCTTGTGTCTCGAGAATTGGCGTATGCAGAGGAAAGGTTAAGGAAGAAAGGAGGCCGGGGAGTTGAAAATCCCCCAACCATTTACTAGAGAAGACACGTCTGGATCGACGCACGAGCCATGCATCATAACTCCCATCAAATTCCCATGACAGTTCGGGCCTGGTTCGGGCCAAAGTCCCCATGATTTGTCCCGACTTCCGACCTTCCACTTTCACGTCTGAAAAGTTTTCTTGAAGACATGTCGAGCCCTCGCCTAAGAACACACCTGACGAAATGCCAGCAGGCAACCTCAAGCCCAAACACCTGAAGGGGATCCCACTTTCGACATCTGCAATTGGATGGAGAACGTCGCCGGTTGGACGTCGACATATGAATGGTTCTCTAAATCGAATGTATGCACGGCAAGGTGCTTAGGTCGCCAGGGGCGGACAAGGCAACGATCTGGACGGGAAGTAATCCCATACAATTGCTCCGAAACGGTTGCTTTTGATAATAGATTTGGCGGAGGAAAAGCCATCCTCAAAGCGACCCTGTGCAGGTCGGCTCCTGGTGTTTTCGAGCGGGTTTACGTGCGACGGGCAGGTTCGTCCAGCGCTGAAGGCTTTGCGCGTTGTCTCTGGTGAACACCTCAACGTCAATACAGCGCGGAGACGCGCATATACCCTGCAGACACGCCAGGAAACACCCTAAAAAACGAGTAAAAGCAACAGGGAAATCAGCGCGGGCGATGCATGCTGAGGCGCTTAAAGACATGCGGTGAGAAACATCTTCGTAACCGACGTAGGCTAGTCTAAAGATGCCCTAAAGTCTCTTTTTAGAAGCGAAATGAGAGAGATGAGGCAACGTTCTCCGTGATGGCTGGGCCCCTACTTATACGCCTCGACGCGTCGACAACGGTGTGCGCTGGCTTTCTCTTCCGTCCCTCCACGTTCTCCTTCCGACCGCCACAAATTGTGCTCAGCTTGATCCCTTGATCCCTTGTAAATTGAAAATTGAAACGACATGTTTGGAGAAACATCACGAGCCGCCGAGAAGGCTGGGGTCCGTCTCAAAATTATCGTCGTTGGTGGAGGGATTGCTGGTATGTCTGGTGCTTTCTTGGTCCGTTGTCTCACAGGAAGGCGGTAGTGACGCGAGCTCCCTAGGTATTGCGTCAGCATACACGCTGGCAGTGGCTGGCCACGATGTTGTGGTACTGGAAAAGGGCGACGGGTCCATCAAGGTGAGGTCGCATAATGCTTTGTACCCGTGCTCGACGTCCAACCTACAAGTTGCTTTGCAGAGCGCAGGCGGTGTCCAGTGAGTTCGATCGCTGCGCATTCTTGTCCGGGTGGTTTTCAATGGGTGTTATAGGTCTCCTCCCAACATGACCAAGATCCTATACCAATGGGGGCTGCGTCCAATACTGCAGCAGAAGGCCGACACGTATGAAAGAATTGTTCTTCGGAACAGTGCGTTGCCTCTTCTCCTATGCCGTTCATCGTGGTACTGATGATCTGCTCAGGCGATAAAGGGACGTTGATCGGCTCTTTGAAAATGGACGAAAATTTCGTGAAGGAGCTCATAGATGGCTTCCTCTTCATCCAGGTGTGTCTGGATTTTCCTATCAGTTTCTTATATCTTATCCAAAAATCAAATAGCACCGAGATCTTTATGACATGTTAATGAATTGCGCGCGCCGAGAAGGCGTGACGATACGATGCAACGCGAAAGTCGTCGGTGCAGATCCTGCCAACGCCACCGTCACGCTAGAGTCTGGAGAGCAACTGTCCGCAGATGTCGTAGTCGCAGCTGATGGCTACGACAGCGTATTACGCCCCATAGTCACGGAAGAGGATGAGGACGACGTACTGGTGGAGGAGCAGGAGAGGCATTTGACCACGACCATCTTGCTGCCGGGTGATATCCTGAAGGGCGACAAGGAGTTGGAAACATTTTTGAACCCACAAGATGTGGGTAATCTATTGCCGCGGGCTTACGCCGTTTCTAACGTGTCTTCCTTCAGTGGGTGCTGTGGATGGGGGAAGGATATAGTTGGAATGCGAACTTTTTGGTAAGCCAGCTATTTGTGGGTCCATCAACTCGTTCTCACCAACCCCGTATATGTAGCATGGAGGAGAGGCCCTGACTGCCACGATTACTCACGTATACGCGGGTCCGCCACATGCTGGCGACGGGGAATGGACAGATGCGCGCACCTTGGAGTGGTATCTGATGACCATGCCCAACATCGAACCAAAGTCAGTCGTATCTCGCACATCGCGAGAGTGTTTTCAAGGAAACTGATCTCCGGGTGTGACAGACTAAAGAAACTTCTGAAGCTCGCAAAATTGATATCGTCTCGTATATTTGTCACGCGACAGACGCCAGAAGATTTTGTTGGAGCAGGCTCGCGATTGGTGCTAGCGGGAACATCCGCCCATCCAATGACGGTGCGTATCTACTTTTACTCATTTGCGTCGCCTTCTCCCGAACCTGCAAACCCAAGGCTGACGTTACTGTGCTTTTTAGCCAGGAGGCAACCACGCAACGGCCCTCGTCATCGAGGACGCACAAGTCCTAGGCTGCTTGTTTTCAAGGATCCAACATCGAAGCCAAATCTCCCAATTCATGACGGCGTACGAAGACATCCGGCAATCGCGCTGCGCGTCGACGCAGGAATACGACTACAATCACCGCGCATCGATGAAGGTCCCAAAAGAGATGCAGGATGAACGCGATGCTCTGCTCGGGCAGACGATGATACACGGCGACTGGGATCACATGGACGAGGCGCTGTTCCGGGAATCATGGGGCAAGGAGCTGTCGCTGTACACGTATGATGCGACAGAGAAGGTGGACGACTGGTGGGGGCAGTACGGATATTTGGTCTGTCAGGTCGAAGCTGAGCGCTCGAAGACGATGGAGGTCTCGATATCCCTTGGCGACGCTCCCAGTTCGTGATCAAACAGAACTCTGCGGCACTGGATTACAGCTAATAGATGTTGGAGTAGGATGATACAGACTGAGATGTGATTATACCTCGTCCGTTGGCGCGCCGTTAGTATTTAGGAATACTATCATGGACCTTTGAGTCACTTTGAAGTTCCCGCCCTTCCAAAGAAGGTATAGCCATACCTCAAAGTGGGAACTCTCTGTCACAGAATTCCAGCCTAGAACAAAAACAAAATGTCCATGACAGTCGGTATTGAGTCACAGGACTATTTTTTCAACACCTGTCAACCAAAATCAAAGCCGGTGGTAGCTTTGTTCTTCTCTTGCTGCTTCCACTGTTCCATCATTTCTAATGCAAATGCTCAACATCTGCCCGATGACTTCTTTCTTTTCTTGGACAAGGCGAATTACGGACGAACTGAAGGGTCGACATCATCTTAAGCTCGAAGAACTGGGCGTATACGGCCTCACCAGAGACTTTCTCCTCCATGTTCAAGATGATTGCAATGACGCGGCCAAAACTCGGGGCTCCCGCATGTCATCGAGAGATCTGGAATTTCTAATCGTGGGTGCGTTTTACTCACACCAGCCAAATTCGCATAGCCTGCTACCTCTGATGATGGATGTCTAGTCAGATCTAATTATTTATAACGGCGACAGTTCCGATGAGAACGAACGCACCCTTGCCCTCCCCTAATCCTTCTCCTCAAGCTTGATGGCCACCGGAAGTCCAGCACGACCTCTGGGCCAGCCTGGCGTCACTCTCAAGTTCGTTGTCATCGGTGGAAGCATCGCTGGTGGGTCTTTCACCTGGTGCTGCTTCCAAACATGACGGTGAAGCCATAGGTCTTGCGACTGCGTATGGGCTGCGGAATGCTGGCCACAACGTCACTGTATTAGAGAAGAGCGACGGACAAGCTAAAGTACGTTGATTTTGTATTTCGTGTGATGCTGCGTTAACCTCCCGTTGTAGAGTAAAGGGGGCCTTCAGTAAGCGGCTTGTCGCGACTGTGTGGATATCGAGCGCTGACACGCTTAGATCGCCTCCTAATATGACAAAGATTCTCTATGAATGGGGTCTGCAGGCAAATCTAGAACGGCTAGCCCATAAGTGCAAGCAATTCATCTTCAGAAACGGTGCGTGAAAACTTTCAAAGGGCTGAGGCGCAACTTGAAAGCAAAAGTGGACAGGCGGCTCCGGAGAGCTCATTGGCAACATGAAAATGGATGAAGCTTTTCTGAAAGACCTCGTCGCTGACTTCCTTTTCATTCAAGTATGAACGCCCGATTCCTTTTCCTATTTCTCGCTCATCATCCGTCGGCGTTAGCACCAAGACCTGAAGGACGTGATGCTAACATTGGCGATCAAAGAGGGCGTCCAAATTCTATATGAGACAACCGCCACCAGCATTTACCCAACAGCACATTCAACTTCAATAGCCCTCGATAATGGACAGGTTCTTTCGGCCGATGTTGTCGTCGCAGCAGACGGCTTCGACAGCCAATTCAGAGAGCTCGTCACTGGGATTCCAGACAACGACCTGATTGACTATCCCGCTGGAAATCGCCTAAACATCACATTTATTCTTCCCGTGGACAAACTAAAGGAGGACGCCGAGTTGCGGCCCCTCATGAATCTTACGGACGTAGGCGCGTTTCTCTTCACTGAAGGATGGTTAACGAAGATCATTTTAGTGGCTAGTCTGGATGGGATCTGGTTATGTTATGCATGCAAATTTAATTGTGAGTGAAAACATTTTGAGTGTGCGGTAGCTTCGGGCTAACTCTCCGTAGAATGAAGGAAGGGATCTAACAGCGACCATCAGCTGCATCTACGACCGAGAAATACGTCCTGAAGACAGCGTTTGGAAATATCATCCACTCGACTACTTCGCAGTTGATCTAGACCTCTTCGAATCCAGGTACGTTCTACCATATCATTCCATTCTCCAACCTTTCCGACGTCTTGCCAGACCGCGGAAAATGTTGGAACTAGCGAAGACGGTCTCCGCGAGAGTGTTTGTTAATAGGCACGGGCTAGAGGAGCTCGTATCTGATGACCTGAAGCTCGTTCTTGTTGGCGAGGCTGCCCATCCATTACGGGTAAAGAAAGTAATCCTTGGCTGAAGCACGCGTATTGACTGCTTTACCTGTGCAGCCTGGTGGAAATCATCGCACCGCTCTGCACTTCGAAGATGCTGAGACGCTGAGGTGCTTGTTCTCGCGAATCCAACGGCGCGATCAGATATCGCACTTCCTCACTGCGTATGAGGAGATCCGACACCCCCGGTGCCAATGGGCTCACGCCTACGACAACGGCTTCCACGACATGGCTGCGACGTATGCCGGTCCAGAACAAAACGCCAGGGATTCTGTGCTACGGCAGACGATGGTGTATGGGGATTGGGACCATATGGACGAGGGAACGTTCAGAGCTGTATGGGGGAACGAGCTTTCATTGTACGTGCATGATGCCAGGGAGCGTGTTGATGACTGGTGGACACAGTGGGGTTCCTTGATTTCGCGGGAGCAGCGGAGGGAGAGAGTCAGCTCCGAGCCCACGTCTCCGGACTTGCCCTTTATTCCCAATATGCTCCAGGTCTCCGTGTCAACTCAAGGTTGACACTGATTCGCTTCCATTGGCTCTGTGAGATTTTGCCCTTGGTGCTAACGCAGCTCTAATGTGTACTGTGATGATAATTCACAGAGCGCTTAGATCCGACCGAGGGTTAGAATTGGTACTCATCTTCAGTAGCTCTCAAGGTCCTTTTCCTCCTAACGTCGAGAATTTAAACAGAAGTTGGCAGACGCAGCTTCACGCGAGGGTTGTAATATCATAAAGATTGTTTCTATTTGTGTTCCAAACAATACAGGAAGATGGTCGTAACTATTGTGTGCGTGTTGTCGATGCGTAGACTACAGATGATGTGATATGGGGCGTAAAAAGTGCGTGCTGATCCGGAGAGTCGTGATAGGTATGTGGGACGAACGAAGAATGCTACACTACTTGAAAGGGGAAGGAATACAGAAATAGGAATAAAAAGATTTGATGTAATGAGGCTGGTTTCGCGATGAGATGGAGGGGGAAAAGAAAAGAGATAGGAAGATAGAAAAATCGGATCGGAAGTGAAGGAACCAACCAGTGAACAAAACAGAAATGGTTGTTCGTCAATCACCCATTTACTCGCCGACCCATTCACCGCCACTAGCCAGTGTGGCGAAAACGCCTTTGCGTTCCATGAGCTCTTCATAAGTGCCTTGCTCAGCGACCTCACCTTCGTGCAGGACGAGGATGCGGTCGCACATGAGCATGACTTGGAGTTTGTGGGTGACCATCAAGGTCGTCCTGCCGTATTTGGCGGAGCGGATGGTGTCGAGAACGGCGGCCTGGTTCTCTGGGTCGAGTGCCGAGGTACATTCATCGAGAATGAGGATTCTCGAGGGTCGCGCGAGTGCGCGGGCGATCTGCAGGCGCTGGGCTTGTCCTCCTGAGATAAGTGATGCGTTCTCGCCGACCATGGTGTCGTATCCTTGAGGTAAGGACATGATGAACTCGTGTACGTTCGCAGCCTTGGCCGCCGTCCGGATGTCCACGTCTGAGATGGCGGTGTTTCCGTAGCGGATGTTCTCTGCGATGCTGGCGTCAAACAGATTCGGCTGCTGGCTGACAACAGCGACATTATCCCTGAGGTGTCCAACGTCCATATCCCGCACGTCCATGTGTCCAACAGTGATTGATCCATTGGTAGGCTCGTACAGGCGCTGAAGAAGCGCGGCAACAGTGGACTTGCCCGAGCCCGAGGACCCAACGATCGCAACACATTCGTCTTCGACGATCTCAAGATTCACGTCCTTGAGGACAGGCACATCAGACCTCTCGGGGTAGGAAAACTGGACATTCTGGAAGTTGATGGGGCCGGTAAGGGTGGGTCGAAGGATTCCACGAGATTCGTCGGTGTTCGTGTCAAGGTTCATCAATTTGTTGAAGTCACCCGTCGCTTGTACAGATTTTGCGATCTTCTCGGCTGAAAGAAAGGAAAGAAAGTTAAGTTGATGATTGATATCCGACCAACGAGAGTAACGTACTGAAAGCCATCAACTGCGATCCGATGGTGACAGAGAAGACGACGAGGTTGAGGACCTCGACCATCTGGAGGTAGGTATACAGTTCACGAGCGATGAGGACAGCACCGACGTAGAAGAGCATTGCCTCAGCCAAGTAGATGAGACCACTAGCCACGCCGTAGGTGCAACCTTCGACGAAGGCACCACGCACACCAGTGGAGAGCGCCTTGTTAGTCGCGGAGTCGAACTGAGCCTTGAAGATGGGCTGGAATGACATGCACCTGATGCCACGGATATTAATGATGGCCTATAGAAATGCAAGTCAGACGGAGTACGAGAAAAATCGACGAAGAACGTACATCGTAGTAGCCACGAGCGACCTCTTCCCTAGCCCGCTTGTTCCTGACCTCACACTTAGCCACCAGCTTCGTCTGGACAGCCATGGTGATAGCGAAGACGGGAGCGATGGCGAAGCCAGCAAGAGTAAGTTGCCAGCCACGAATGAGAGCCCAGATGAGGCCGACACCAAGCATGGCGACGACGACAACACATTGGCCCCAGACGACCGACACCAAGTTCCTGGCGTCATCGCCGTCCTTGACAATGATCTGAACGAGCCTTGCTGGGCCGTTGCTGGGGCGGTCGAACCACTTCTTGTCCTGGGCCAAAACCTTCTGCAGGGCACCAGTGCGCATCTTCGTCACCCAGTTCATGCCGACGCTCTCCATGATGAAGTACTTGAGGCCCATGAACACGCCGTCCAGAGCTGCAATGCCGAGCACGAGTCCACCGAATTGGTTGATGATGGAGGTGTTGCGGGCGCCAGTCGAGACTTCGAAGAGCAGGCGCGAGAGGAGGAAGGAGAAGACGGGGGTCATGGCTCCGGATAGGAGGCAGGTAAGGAGTCCGATGAAGAGAAGAGTCTTGGTGGGGATCGTAGGCCAGACGGTGCGCATGAGAGCCCAGAAAGGTGGACGTTCCATGTCGTCGAGATCGTTGGACGGGGTAGGTGAGGATGATCGGTCAGCGGTCTTGGTTTTCTTGCCCTCGACAGTGATAGTGCTCAGCGGAACGTCGTCCCAACGGGTCCTAACTCGCTTGGTGGTGTTCCGTCCTTGTCGTGCGGTGACGGCGCTGTTCTGCATTGCACTCTTGTCCTTCATGAACTCGTCGTCGTCGTCGTCATCGTCGTCAGCGAAATGCACGGTGGCGCGATTGATCGTGAAAGTCGTCGACGTAGGCGTAAACTGGAGGCTATAACGTCTGCTGATGGCGGTATGCGCAGCAGTGGGCGAAGTGGGTGAAGGGATGTGAATGCTCGAGGGTCTCCTTCGGCGTTCGGCAGGTCCGTTAAACTTGTCGGCGGGAACAAATCGGCTGACACGATAGCTTTCCCTTGCAGCTACAACTGCTGGTGCGGGAGCAGCCGCAGTTGCGTTACCTGTAAGGTCGGCGATAACATCGAACATCCAGTTGCCGAATGTAAGAGGGCGGATGGCGATGCTCTGGTGCTTGAGGTGGGTCGGGAGTCTGATTTCCTCCTCCTTCTCCTCGGCATCCTCGAGAGCCCCCTCGATTGCATCATTCGCCTTGGGAGGCTCCTCGCCATCCTTCTCAGGCAAGAAACCTCCTGTCTGTTGCTGAGACTCCATCATTTTCCGGAATTCACCACGATCCTCAAGGTAGGGGCTGGAAGGAACGGCTTCTAGGTCATAGCGGTAGCCTTGTTCGACGACACGACCCTGCTTGAGGACGTAGACGAAGTCCTGAGGTTCGATTTGGGAGAGGTCGTGGGTGATGACGATGGTGGTCTTGTTGGCGCGCCACCGCTTGAGGGCTTCGAAGACGAGGATGCGAGAGGTGGGGTCGAGAGCTGATGTAGCTTCATCTGTAAATCCAATTAGTATCAGGACAGGTTAAAATTAAAGAAAGAAGACGAACCAAGAATCAAGACAGTGGGGTTCCTAAGCTCTGCGCGGGCAATCGCCAAACGTTGCTTCTGCCCGCCGCTCAAACCAACACCAGCACCGCCACCGAGGATCGTCTCGTAACCCATCGGCAAGTCCCTAACGAACTCGTGCATCAGCGCGGCTTGACAGGCATCCTCGACTTCCTGTCTGGAGGCCTGGCGTTCCAGGCCGTCGAAGCCGGCAAGTCCTGCGGCAACGTTCTCGAATACGCTCTTGCCGTCGAGGACAACAACGCCAGAGGCCCCTTGCTGGCCGACACCAGCAATGTGCTTCCTGACCCACATCTCATCGAGGAACCGGACGTCCTGCTCGTCGAGGCAGACGGAGCCTTGCTGAGGCTCGTACATCCTCAGGAGGAGCTGGGCGATGGTCGATTTGCCCGAGCCAGACGACCCAACTACGAAAGTGGTCTCGTTGGCAGGAAGAAAGAGAGAGACGTCGGTGAGAACGGGGATGGTGGGTCGGGAAGGGTATGCGAAAGTGACGTTGTGGAGAGCGAGTTCGCCGGCACACCGAGTGGGAGTGATCTTGCGAAGAGTGTGGGATCGACGGAAGGATTTCGTGGGCGACGGGGGTGCGTTGGAGCTTGGTGGCATCGCAGAGGAGGATGAGGATGGCTCGTCGCTGACGAGAGTCAGGAGAGCGACCATGGCGAATTTGCCCTTGGCTAACGTGATGAACTGGGGGATGCACATCTGCAAGTTGCTGGTGGCGATCAGACATGCCCAGAAGACCGCCATGACGTCGCCAGCGTTGACCCTGCTCTCTCGGACGAGCTTCGCACCGAACCAGAAACCCTGCACGAACATCGCCATCATGACGAACTGAGCAATGCCGGAGGTAAAGCCCCAGACGGCGTTGAGCCGCCTTGCCGCGATTTTGAGGTGGTGGAAGGAGTCTTGCGCACGGGAATTCTCGTGGGCCGTCGCGTTGAAGGCCTTGACGGTAGCAATGGCGGCCACGGCACGGTCGATAATTGTCGCTGCGACACCGGTCTGCTCACGCTCGTGGGCAAGAAGGGGCGAAGCAAACCCTTGGGAGAGGGCTTGGACGAACACGAGGACTGGAACAGCGGAGAGAATGACCAGGGTGAGTGCCCAGGAGCGCATGAATGCCAGGACGAGGCAGACAATGCAGGTGGTGAGGTACTGAAGTAACATTCCGGATGCGAGAGAAGATGCCATTCTGACATCGTCGGTTTCTCTGAAGGAAAACGTGAGCTGCAGAAAAGCTTTCCAAAAATAAATACGTACCTCGTAAATTTGGCCATGAGACCTCCTGCGCCGATGGGGCCTTGGTCATCGGCTGCTTGGACTGAACCTTCGGTCGCACCCATGTGCATATCAAACCACACCATATCCTTCTCCGTCACGGCTTCATACACGGTTTTCCGGAGGGCCATGACGTTGATTTCACCCGTCCATATCCAGAGGAATGAGGTGAGGCTGCCGAGCGCCAACGAGCCCACGGCAAGGCCAATGAGCTGGAGAGCAGCGATACCGACATCGCGGAGGAGTTGGTCCTTTGCGGATTGGGGAGGATTGGGGGTGAGGGGGAACTGTGCAAAGGCGTCAAATGCCTGGCCGACGACGTATGTCATAAATGGCGCGATTCCGCCCGCGATTATTGAAGAGCAGATTGCCGGGATAAGAAGAATAAGGAGGTGACGCCGGGAGATGAGAGAAAAGAGAAGGCGGATAGAGGGCGTGATGGTGGGTTGCACAGGGGCATTGGAGGGAGTGGGCTGGGAAGGATCGGCAGTTTGTTGGTGCTTGAGGTCGCTGGTGGTGGTGATAGTGGAAACGGTGTCGATAGATGATCGTGGAGAGACATTGAGTTCGTAAACGAGGTCGTTCGCGTTGGTCGTGTCGACCACAAGGGCCGGGTTTCGACGCATCGTTCAACGGTGCAAAAAGTAGGGATGAAAGAGGAGGAAAGGAGAAGCGAAGGGTGGTCCATCCATCTCCGCCATTGCTTTTTGTCCGTTCGTACTCGAGACAATGCGCGACTGCCTATTGTCCGCCGTGTTTGTTCATTGTTTGTCCGCCCGGCGAGACAATAAGAAATTCGGAACTATTTCCCCATTTGGGAGTTTCATCTTGGATTCCACCTATTCCTGGTGGACAATGTATGGGCTGGGAGAAATCAGTTGGATTCCGACGCCACATTCCCGAGTCAAGGATGAGCAGGAGAGGGTCGAAACCTGATCCCAGAAGCGCGGGTGTTTGTTCAATGTCCTTATTTGGGCACCGCCCAGGTGTACAAATAATGGCACCGCCACCGCGTGGATCATCGACGCTGTAACTGAGCGGTGGTGCGTCCTAACATCCGTGTATTCAGTCTCGAGTCGAGAATGTGCACCAGAAATACCTTGGATGGAGGAAGCACGACATGTGCTGCGTGGCCTATTGTCTTGAATCACTTCCTCCGGTGACGTTATCGACCTCGCACCCTTTGCCCATGGACAGACCTAAGTTGAGGTGAGAAATTTCCGGAAATCAAAATACTTAGAAAGCACATACCACGCACAACCCAATTTCAAGAGCTGCCCGGCTTCTGGGTGTTCCCAACCGTGCGCAAACTGTATTGTCCGCAGCTTCTCCATAACACTGCTGCCAAATAGTAAGCCGACGAAACGATCAACGGCTTTTCTGCAGTCAAAATGGGCAGACGGTGCCTGATGGATGACGAAGATAGCTGAAAGTTTGAGTAAGAATGATTAGGATGCAATGGGAGTAGGGAAAAATACCTTTTAGGGCTTTATTCAACTGAGGACGTGACGATAGAGGAGGAAACGAAGCCATAAAAAGTCATCGCCACAGCATTTCATAGCTTCCAATAAATATTCCTAGGATGTGACGAGATCATGAGTAACTCGGGAAGTTACACCTACATGCCGTTGAAGCTGGTCTTATGGTATATGCGCGCCAATTTGGCCACCCATGGCGAAAAGGAGTTGCAGCGAGTGCTTGTAACTTGAGGACCGATTTTCTGCAACCTGTGCATTTGCGATCTCTGCGGCGGAGTCAAGGATGTGACGATGAGCGAGCACGAAAGTGAGCCTAACACCGTCTGGAGATTGCCTTGAGACCACACCGGCTGGTTACAGACGACGAAGGAACTTTGGAACGGACCCGAGAGAAATGGATCTGTACGTAGCAGGTTAAATTCCGTTCCACGAAAGAAAAAGGGGAAGGTTGACAGAACAGTGATCTACCGAGTCATGGTATTCTCCGCAACAACTCTTCTGTCCCTGTCGCAGGAGTCGCTGGATGCATATATGCGTCTGTTATGCGTTTCACACACGCATATATGCACCAAAACTTAAAACACGGTTGGAATATAGATCTTTGGGGAGGTTGTGATGCACCAAACAGAACGATCTGACGGTCACTGCGCATATACTTATGCGGAGGCTGGATATTCAAGAAAGAATCGTTCACGGTCAGAATCGGCAGCCGTACCTTTCCCCCGTCAATTCTGTTCAGCTTAGTGTGGTACTGAGGCTCTATATTGTGCCCGTTAGGGAACGATTTTCTTTCGATTGTCCTCCTAGCGTCTATCACTCTCCTCGGACATTGTTGTGTTTCGACGCCTTCAAGATACCCATTAGTTAATCGAGACCAGACAGACGAATACCGTGCTTACATTGGGTTAAACTTAATTGAGCCATTCCACTGAAGACGTATCACAGGTGTTGCGTCACTTGCGTGCGAGATGGGAGAGATGAAGAAAGGTTCAGACTCCAGAGTGATCTTATCAGACCTTATTTGGCAGCCCCGACGCCCAAATAAAGAAGCCAAGCACGGCCAAGCAAACCAGTGGCATGTTCCCACGGTCCACGAGAACAAACCCTGCTCATCGCAGCAGGAACTGCAAGGACTCGGACTTCAATCATACCCACTCGCAAATTCGTCCCGAATCCGCGTTTTCGAGGCCCTTATACATCCGTGGCATGATGGTTCTACATCAACTTTCCAGCAGGTAACCTCGTGTCTAGAGGGCATGGCGGTGGGCGCCAGTCTACGTATCGGCCAAAGCACAGGACGGGACATACACGAGGAGACTGCGACGCCGACGTACGTTATTTCCGTTAAAGGATCCTGGAACAACATATTCATGACAAAAAGGCCCTTGAAACAGTCTCCGTTCTCGAAACATGAGCCCCTAAGCTCAATTCATTGGCGGATGTGCGCGGCCCAGCCCTCCAACGAGGCTTTAATACAACGATAATGATGCCTCGGAGCAGGCTGACATTATGGAGAACCCTCTCCCTTTAAATTGGGAGCTTTTGGGCATCCTCTCCTCTTCCACAACCACCAGTACCACCTCCACCGCGACTAACGTCGAATTTCCGAAACCGCTTCCACGCAATGGCATCTTCCAATCTATCTACCTCGATGCCTGGACTTGACCTCATCGCGACGGCAAAGACGACAAGGAAGACCCTTGAACGTCTTGCCCCTTTCTCGCAAATGCAAAGGTAAGCACTTCGTCGTGCCTTTCGTCCAACTCTGCTTGATCATCGAACGCGTAGCTCCTCCGATCCGTCCCCACTTCTGTCCAAGATCGTCACCAAAATGACGAACCTCATAAGGCTCATTGATGCCAGTATCATAGCCTCCCAGCTCGGATACCAGCTCGCGACGGACTCCATGATTATGTGTGATCCAGACGAAGGCGACTGGGAGGCGGACGTTAGCCTCTCTGTCCTCAGAGAGGTGTCGAAGAAAGGCCGCAATAAAACGAAGGAAGTCGCCGACGGCTTCAGGGAGATCAAGCAGGAGGTGTACAAGGTGTGTTAAAGTGAAACGTCACATTTGTCCATTGTTCAGATTCGTCATTCATAGATCGCGGCATCTACGAAGAACAGCAAGCTCGTCGTGCTCGTTAAACCCGAACCAACACACTGTACGTTTTCCCTCTTCCCAATCCATGTTCCCTGTTTCATTTGCTCATACTCGCGTGTCCAGCTGACAACATCAAAATCCGACTCAAGGACGTGGGCATTGACCTCGTTGCGAATTTGAACCTCCTTTCGGAGTTTTCGCTCCGCATGAACGCCGCGGAGGAGTGGTGGGCCTGGGTCAACAATGATTTGTCCTCTGAGATGCCAACTCTCCTCCCTCCTTCCCTGCTCAAGGAAACTGACAGTCCAACGGAACGCACTCCAGAAGATGAGTCGTTACAACGCGAGAAATTCGCGATGTGGATGGGCGTGAAGGACCAGTTCCAAGGGTACTACAATGAGGTTCGTCGTCACATCCAGTTGATGTAAGCTTTTAGCTTACTATTTCGTCCCATAGATCAACATAGCCCATAACCGCTTCCCCGACCTGCTTGCTTCGTCGGCGACAGCATGGCGTGCTGTTGCCTCAGCGAGGAGCGTTACACCGAGTTCTGACAGCCATGGCATGGAGCGGCCTTTTTTGTCGACCAACACTGAACCAAGAAGGCCACTCAGAGCCTTAGGCGGATTTTTCGCATTACGATCGCGAAAGCAGAAGGCCAAGAAATCTGACAAGGACGCTGAGAAGGAAAACCGAGATCCTACTAATACTGCTAGCGAGTCGGAAGGCAAGAGCAAGGAGAAGGCTTCAGAAACACCCAGAGAGATGGCATCCCGTCGGAATGCCACTCCTGCTCGCACCCCATCTTCGCGTTCTTCTCGATCATCTCATTCGAGAGCTTCTCGACGATCGACGGCATCAAAGAAGAGCAGACATGGCTTGTTGGCATCGTGTTTATCGGGGAGCCTGTTCACAGATGGAGTTGGCCATCTTGGGTGCCATGGGTTCATGACCAAGTGATTTTTTTTGATCTGACTGGGAGGTCGATATCGTTCGTTGCTTTATTCTACTTTATCGTTCTCTTAATCCGTAACGTTGGAAATTTTGTGTGTAAATTATTTTGCATCATGTCCTGTAACACTCCATTGTATGAATATTGTTGTCTGCAAAAATGGAACAAAGTCGCGAAGACGCGATCCCAACGCTTTAACTCGCCTCCTCGCCGACCTTCCACACTTCCAACCCGCCCTCTCCAGCAACACCCACGACGCCACGCCTCCAATCCACGCCTAGCACCTTCTTCGTGCCTTCCCAAGCCTTGCACGTCGCCATCGCGCCTTTCGTGCTCCGTAGATCCCACACCCGGACAACGCCGTCGTACCCGCCTGTTACCACTTGATGCGAATTGGCTTCGCTCGCGGCAACACAAGACGGTGTGGCCGGGTGGGAGAAGGAGGCTTTGGAGGAAGAAAGCGAGGTTTGCGAGGTTCGGAGGTCGTACAGAGTCATGGTGCGGTCTGTGGAGACGGCAAGTGCGGAGTTGCCGTCTGGTGTTAGGGCGATGTCGAGGAAAGGCTTTTCCGAGGCCGACTGGGAGGCCGATAAGATTCCAAACCAATTTATAAAAAAGTAACTCACGATCGTATGCTCACAGACGCCATACTCAGTATCCCACGTCCGGACGGTAGAATCAAAGCCACAGCTGAACGCTTTTTTCTCTTGCCCCACTCCAAAGAGGGCCTTGGACACCCTAGCAGTATGCGACTTCATGACGTTCAACGGAGCCTTTCTGCGGGGTTTTGAGCCATCATCGACGCGTCTCCGTTTCTTCCTGTCTCGTTCAGTAAGCGTAGGTTCCGGAACCTCGTCCGAGGACGGCACATTGCTGTCCCAAACTCCAATGAGACCGTCCCATGAGGCAGTAATGAGATGCGTCCCCAAAGGGTTGGAAGAAACGGAGGAGACCGTGGATGTGTGCAAATGAAGAGAAGCGAGGACTTTGGAGGTCGAAGGCGTGGAGGGCGACTGCGAAAGCGTGACCTGGGTGATCGCAGCTGTGAGGTCTTGCGAAGAGCTTGCGACAATGTACGTCGATTCGTTCTCCGAGGAGATGATGCATACGGAGGTTATTGGCGCGGCGTGTGCCATGGTACTCGATATGAGTTGCTTAGAGTAGTCGAAGATTCGTATATGACCGTCGTAGGAGGCGGTGGTAAAGTGCCTGGATTGTTGAAGTTAGCTCAAGCTCGAGGGGCACAGGTTATAGGATGAACCCAAGGATTTTGCACGATACGGATGAGACCCAGTCTTCATGTGGAAAATCCGACATTTTCTGAGGCGGCATAATAGATTCGATGTACTCGACCTCAAGCGTTTCTTCCTGCGCGCGCAAGGTCAGAAATCTACGGGTCTGCAAGACTGTTCAACGCACCTCTCCGATGCCATGTTCTGCGCACCATTCGTTCAGTGTACCTCTCAGCACTTCTCCGCGGACAAGAAAATCAAAAGGGACCGGTTTGTCCAGCGATAAAGCCTTGTTCACGAGTTGCGAAAGTTGATATCGTTTCCAAGTTGTTGGAATCATGAATTTTTGCGTCGGCAATGGATATTGAGTCTGCGTGGTGAATACGACGGGCTGAGACGTTGCCTGTGGCTCCATTGCTGTACGCAAAATTCGATAACGGAATAAAACAAGGAGCTTGAGTTTGGAAGACACTAGTTCTGAACCAGGGTCCGATATTCAATCATATTGAAAATATCGACAAAATCACGTGATCGTACCTGCACCTCCGGCCTGGTGGACACCATATTTAGGTCCCGACTCCCGAGTCTTGTGCTCTCTCCTCTCTGCTCTCCGAGCTCACGTCCAGATATGCAGATGCCTTGCGAAATTATTGCGAAATGCGAGTGACGCCTTGTGCACCACTCGACAGTCTTTCATTAATGTTGGAGTTAGCCAACCCAGCATTTACTCGAACTTACCAGAATATTTGATTAGTAATATTCTGACTCACTTAGCATAGCCTCGGACAAATAGGAAATTAGTAGATAGTACTAGAATATTGTAGATACATAATTGTACAGTATAAAAGAGCTCTGTAGGAGCCCCGCAATATTAATCCTCTCTTACCTTCTGACCACCACTGCGCCAACAGGTTATGGGCCCCGAGCCTCAGTAAAGCGTGTCTCACCACCGTTTACTGCTTCCATCTTATCTCGCTCTCGTCCTTCCCACGCTCATTATCATTATCTTATCTAGCTACCTTATCATCGCACCATAGCCATGGATCGCACACTACTTACCATCCCCAAACTTACTAGTCATAATTACCATGACTGGAAATTTGCCGTCAGCATGGCATTGCGCATCAGGGATTGTTGGGATGTTATAGCCAATGGATCCGAGAAGAAACCGGCCGGCGACGCACTCACGGAATGGACAAAGAAAGCAAATGATGCGCTTACCATCATCGCTCTCACGGTGGATCCAAGCCAGTACACCTACATCCGAGATTGCACCGATGGAGTAACCGCATGGCAGAGGCTCAAGGATATCTACGAGAAGAATTCTCGTGCAACCCGAATCTCCCTCAAGCGCCAATTCTACGGCTTCGAGCACGATATAAATATGCCAATGCAGGATTATGTAAATGGCATTACAGATTTAGCCGCCAAGCTCAACGCGATCGGAGTTACCCTAAATGATGAAGATATCACCGACGTCCTTATCTTCAATCTCGACAAGGAATATTCGAGCATCGCCGCATCCTTATCAGCTGGCAAAACAGATCTCAAAGTCGGAGAAGTTGTTAGCACCCTTCTCGAGGAAGAACAACGGAAAGGGGGAGCACCCGATGTAGTTACCGCCCTTTACAGCAACGGCATCAATAACAATGGCCGAGGACCGCCGGGCCGACGCGGACCGAATCGTGATCGACGCGAAGGAATCATCGAAATGCGCACATGTTACCTATGCGGATACAAGGGACACATTCTCAAGGATTGCCGCGCCACGAAAACCAAAGATGGAAAGGCTATTACCACCAAAATGACTATTGCCGCCCTCGAAAGAATCAAGCAAGAACAAGAAATCGCCAAGTCGAACTATGTATCCGAAATCGGCGAGACCCTGAATGAATTCGCGTATTGATCGACCAATCAAAATTAGCGCCCGTACACATTTGCGAAGCACCACGGAAATGCTAGACTCATGGTTGAGGATCTCCCAGGTCTATGCATGATTGAAGAAGACTTTACTTACTGGAGGTTGAGGCTCTCCCTCCCTGATGGAATTTGGATAGCAGGTTGAGGATCTCCCTGCAAAATTGATTTTCGGGAGAAGGTTTGAGGAATTCCCTTCTTGCCAACACAGAACTTCGAAATTGGAGGTTTGAGGAACTCCCTCCAGAAGGAACAGATTTATTTGGAAGCTCAGCTGAAGGTTGAGGATCTCCCTTGCAGCTGTGAGCAATATTTTCGGACATTTCATTATCAGTTTCTATTTTTGGACTACGACCATTTTTCACCTCACTCGGAATGCTGGATTGAGGGGGAGTGTTGGAGTTAGCCAACCCAGCATTTACTCGAACTTACCAGAATATTTGATTAGTAATATTCTGACTCACTTAGCATAGCCTCGGACAAATAGGAAATTAGTAGATAGTACTAGAATATTGTAGATACATAATTGTACAGTATAAAAGAGCTCTGTAGGAGCCCCGCAATATTAATCCTCTCTTACCTTCTGACCACCACTGCGCCAACAATTAAAGCGTTCATTGACGCGTGGGCAGAGAAACGAAGACGATATGAGCCTGCTGGACAGACGGACGGGATGTGCGACCATTTCGGAGTCCTCCAACCTGCAACAGTACTGCTTATAGGCAAGGCCACGTCTATTCCTTCTGCTGGAACAACTTAGGGATGGAGAGGCTCTTCCGTTCCATCATTGCGATCGCTGCGGGTTGGTACAGAGAAGGGGGAAGGAAGCATCAAGACGGAAAGTCTGCCTGACTTTGTGCGACCCATGAGTGAGTTATCTTTTTGATTCTCCGATGCGGAGGCTTATCGATGTATTGAATGCTTAGTAGAAGTGAAGTTTCAAAAGTGCGGTCTTGAGGGGTACGGCAGTAATCTTTCCTCCCCGATGACTGGCGCGAGGCCTTGACGGCAGTGTTGACAGAACGCTATGAATAGGGCAAACGTCCATGCACGATAGTCAAGGCCCTCCAGCCGCAGAATAAGCGTGCCATCTTCATCCTCGGAAAAGCGAGCTTGCCATGCTCATAACTAATTCGTGGCTCTGGTACCACCATCTCCGTCGTCGGTTATTCCAGAAAGCGCGAAAGTCTCCACCGAGCAGACGACACCGAGACTGGCTGACGTGGAAGGTATTGAGGGCGGCCACACTTGACGGCGGCGCCGTCTCGACGTGTCAGAAGACCACTTTGGAAAGCTAAGGCGTACAGTCCGGCCTGCGCACGATCGTGATCACTTCCACCTGTCCCAATGCAAACGCACACTTTTCCCGACCTTCTGACTCGCCACCCGCGAGGCTATATAACGCATCCGCACTTCCGTTTGGTCGATTTCGACCCTTCCCAACATGAAGGGACCTGCCGAAATTGCGTGAGTGAAATACGATTATCTTTCCTCGTTCCCAAATTTGATGCTCAAGTTGCGATAGGCATGGACCCATGTTCATTGGGTTTATTTTCAATGTGCTGCTGTATGGAATCATGATAACCCAGGTTTACTTGTACTTCACGACATTTAAAAAGTCGGTGTGCTGATTCTGGGCGTGAATGGTTTCTAACCAAATCTTTGCAGAGACCAGACTTGGATGAAGATATTTGTCAGTTCGCCTTCTTACATTCCCCAGGACAATTAGCCCATCTATCCTCTAGGTTTTCGTTCTCTTTATCGCGGACACCGTGAATACTGTCTTTGATTCCATATACTTGTACCGATCGCTCATCGTACACTTCGGTGCGTTCAGCCCCTCATTCGTCCTCCAGGAGTTTATGTTAACGCTTTGTCCAGGCGGTGATTCACATCTGGCGACCGCTAATTGGCGTGCGTATCTTAGCTTGTCTTCGTATCTGCCTAAGACCACTCATGCGATTCTCTCGAGTAGTCTTCGCAACCGGTGGGTTTGAGAAAATTCTGCCATGCGGCCTCTGCTGATGTACTTGGTCATTTAGATCCTGCAATAACTGTACGTTTGATAACCAAGATTTCTTCCCAAGTATCGCTAATACCAGCCACCAGGGATTGATAGCCAGCCTCGTTCAGTTCTTCTTTGCCTGGCGAGTCCTTATCCTAACGCGTAGCACTCCGTTGGCTACTGCCGTCATCCTGGGCTCGTTGGCTGGTGGAGGTTAGTATTGTATCCTTCTGTCTCCCTTGAGCAAAACGTTAAAAACGCTGATATGATTCCTGATATTTCACTCTCGACCCTTCCCCAGCTGGCGCAGTTGCAGCCGCCATTGAAGTTGGTCGAACTCCTCAATTTGTCGAATTCCGACGTTTCAAGGTGCGAGTTTTTAGACCTTTTCTAGATTTGCGTCTGCTTTCTGAAGGCTGTCGGCAGTCTGTCGTAATTATCTGGCTAGCCTCTGAAAGCGTTACAGATGTCTTTATCACGACGATTTTGGTTTGGCATCTGTGAGTTCACTTTGCATTTCTGAGATTTTTTGATCTTATAGATCTCAGGGTGCGCGTTTCCTCCTATCGTCCCTCTAAACCTAATTTTGTCGCATTCAGAGGAGACACAAGACTGGATTCCAGGCGTCGGATTTAATGGTTGATCGAATAATACGCAGTGCGTATGCACCAACTCCAGGTGTCTCTGTATTCCTCAATGCGTCCTAGTAACTGTACAAACGGGTTTTATCACCTCTCTCGTCGCAACGCTTGATCTAATATTCTTCCTGACCGATGTGAGAGGGACATTTATTCTTCGGAAACTCTGTTTCGCTGACATCCCGCTTTCCAGCCGACTGGAACGTTAGTCCCTGCTTGTCATCTACCAAATGCCAGTCTAACATCCTGCGGTGCTGCAGGCATCTGATCTTCAACTTCCCGCTGTGCAAATTGTACTCCAACTCGCTCATGAGCAGCCTCAACTCACGCGCAGGTTGGAAGTTCGGATCGTCGAAGAAGAATTTCAGCTCGGTGGACACAGGAACGACTCTAGGCGTTTTCTCGACCTCGAATCTCGCACAGGCACCCCAATTGAGTCATACCAGCCCTCCAAACAGCCCATTCACTCTACGAAACGCGCGCCATTCCGCTGACAACCTTGCAACACCTGACTCTCCAAGGCGGAGTCGCGGTTTATCTGTGTCGCGACCACCTGTACGTCTGTGGTCTTCTTCCCCTTGTCGTGCTCTTTGACGCAGGCACTCTCTTTATAGGCCACCGTCGCTAAGAACTCGCACCCGGAGATTTTTGTGCACGTCGAGTCCCACCAGTCTCGGGACAATGTGCTCCCTCCAAAATCAGGGCCAGGCTGCATAAGTGCGGCCCCGCGTTTCAAAAACGGACCCCCACCCTCCAAAAAGCCTCTCAGCGTGTGCCTCTCGATAGATGCAGATGTTAGCGATGGCACCTCAGAGGGTCAGGAGTACAACTACGGTTCTCAGGAACTCGACAATGGAGGGAGCGTGGAAAGAACGAAGGAAATTTCGGACATGGAATAAGGTTCTCGAACCAAGATTTAACGTGTCGAGCAGATGGCATACGATTTTTTGGGGTACCGTTGCATCCGCCAGACAACAAAATTGTGGACAATACGACGAAATCCGACCTAATAAAGTAAATCCTTGAGTAGGAATTGCAAATGAGCGCTTTTCTGTCTTCCACATTGCCCTGCGCCTTCTTTACACATGATTTGATTCTCAAAACGCTCGAGGATGGCGGCGCATCAACAAATCAACAAGTCATCAGGTGGGTGACAAAAAATCTTGACTCATACCCGAACATGTGCCACGAGGCCTTCGTCATGCACGACTGATGCTCTTCCCTCGTATGCATTGCCGCTCAACACAACATATTCTCATTTTCAACGACGAGATATCATTCAAATGTCAGACCGGAGCATATGGAACATCCTCTGGAGCTGTTTTGCCACAATAGTCGCTTGCACATGGATCTCGGTCCACCCCAACGTTCCCGGTGCGAGCGATAGTCAATGGAAGGTGTTTGGAAGGAGGATGGCGATAATGATGTACCTCCTGATCGCCCCAGAGATGGTGATTCTGTGGGCTGCACGCCAGCATTTCGCTGCTGTTAGAATAGCACAACGATTCCGAGGTGCGTAGCATAGTTCGACGTATTGATTGTCATCGATCAACAGAAATTTTAGACAAGGGCTGGACAACAATACATGGATTCTTCCTCATTATGGGAGGATTCGAATTGTACGACGGCAGGACCTTTCTTCGCGCCTTGGAGGTCTCGGAATTCGCAAAACTCCATGAAGAAGGACGAATAGAATGGCCATCCATCACCGCTGCTCAAATCGAAGACCGAAGCAAGGCTGATTTCCTTTCCAAAGGGATTGTCATTGTCCAAACGACGTGGTTCATCGTGCAAATGATTGGTCGCGGAGCCAACAGGCTAGCGGTTACCGAACTCGAGGTAGTTACGTTGGCATTCGCCGCCCTGAACGGAGTCACCTATTGGCTCTGGTGGGATAAACCAATGGATGTGCGGTGTCCAGTCCCGGTGCACTTGAAGGGGGTTGGAACGGAAGAAGTCCTGCCGGCCCAGGAGAAATCATCTACGTCCTCGACGACCTATCCTCCTGCTGAAATATGTAGCGTCAACATCATCGAACCCGCGGATGAAGGTGGAGACGAGAGAATCCTAGATCCAGTTGTCCTTTCGAATCCACCCAGCCGCTCTTCCTCGCCAAGCTTACCCAAGCGGTCCAGGCTGGAGCGACTACAGCTTTACATGTCCCAACAACGCATCAAGCGTGGAGAATTTCGTGGTTTCGTCCATGTTTTACTCTACCAACCTCTTGCCATTTTCTTCCGCCCCTTCGAAGACATGCTCTCGCTTGACACCCTCCGCGGTGATCGCAGTCGTGTGCCCACATTCTATGCCCCCAAAGCTGAGAAAGATAGTGATTCGGCTGCTGTTATTTTCCTCACCATTGCAGTTGTCATTGTATTCGGCGCGATTCACTGCGTTGCCTGGTCATCGTCATTCCCAACCGTCACAGAGAAGTGGCTCTGGCGTGTTAATTCAGTTGCCATCTGCACATTGCCTCTTTTGATGTCGCTTATTGGTGCTTTCGCGAGCGAGAAGGACGCAGACGACATGACATTCTGGGAGAAGGTTCGGGATTTATCCATCACAATTCCGCTCATGTTTTTCGCTGGTGTTTACATCGTTTCCCGAGTCTCCCTCCTAGTTCAACCTCTCGCAGCACTTCGCGCGTTACCCTCCTCTGCATACGAAGATTTAGACTGGACGAATTTCCTTCCTCATGTATAATGGTGTATTCTTTATTACCTATGAGACTAATTGCTCATTTTCAGACGATTTATCGCGCCGATAGCCAGAATGCTCAGGGACTACACTTTACCACGGTCAAGCTCCTGTTCTGATTGAAGAAAGTGCCCAGAGAGGTAAAATCCTTGGTTCGTGGTCCTGATTCAAGGCTGGCTTGAATTTTCCCGACGCTGAGTTGAACTCGACCACATCAGCAGGTACATCTTCCCATCACGACGACCGCAACGTAATGGGCAGGTACCTCGTCGACGAGTCAGACTTCATCTTAAACGACATCTCTCGGTCGCGGAATTGGCCAATATTTACGACCAGCGGCCCAGAATGGCAACCTCCCCCGAGCTCACACCATCTTCCTGTATCTTCCGTTCAACAAGTACAAGCGCTCCTTCAGGGAAACTCCCGCGAGCTTCGTTGGATTGGCAGGCGAAGCATGAAGGGACCGGAAAGGCGCGGCCTTGGCAGTGGTATGAAGGCCACCACTACGCCGTATAACCCACCTCTAGTTACCCTTATTCTTGTCCCAGTTGACACTTTCACTAATTCCTGAATGCCTACAGGGCCTGATTAATAATTTTTCACATCCAAGATGGTAGCATTGACGCGTCTAGTCATGGGTATGTGAACATACACCCGATGCCACTGGACACATGTCGTATGAATTCACCTGTATGTTTCTGGGCAAGCCGCCTTTCACTTCCTCAGGAGACAAGAAATATTGGATAGCACGAATTTTCTGCGAGGAACTTGCTATTCTTGCTGCTCAACGACGAACTCTATGGCATAGCACCGTGTCGATGGTAGCACTGAGGTATAGTAAACCCCCTTTCATTCCTACAGAGCCATAGCGAGAAAGTCTCCGCTGAATTGCCTACGATACCTGCCCATGAAAACCGTCCACCTTGCTGGCCAATCCAGTAGACGTCTCGACGGGAGTGCATGTTGCACCAGAACATTCCCGTCTAGATAGGTATCGTGCATCCTTTCGGAGCTCTTCTAATCATCGACATTCTTGACATCTCGTTTAGTGCCATTACAGGAGGAGCAGAATATATAAGAGGTGCTCAGCATCTCCACCCTCCTCACCGCTCTAGCAGAATAAACCATGATCTCCGCAAGCAAGCTTCTTCTCGCTCTCTTCATCGCCAAACAGGCGGTCGGCTCCGCTGCCTTGTTCGAGGACCACCAGACTGTCCTCAACCAGTGCACCGGTTCTGCACCCGAGGTCCAGACTTACAGAGAGCGGTTCATTGCTGAAGTTTTCCGCCCTGAGTCGACTTTCCAGGTATCTTTTAGTTTACTTCACGTTTGGGTGCAGAGTATCCTCATGTTTTTCACAGACCTATGGGAACGGAATAGATATCCCTTCTTCGTTCGTGAAAAACAGCTTGATGGAGACCGCTGTGACCATTGTCCAAGACAAGCTTGGATTGAAAGACGGCGATGTTTCCTATACGAGTGGATACTCGTCAGAGACGTCTGACTACGCGTATCTTGCTCAAACTCATGTTAGTATCGAACGCTTCGCCGATGGGCCCCTCCTTACTCCCAGTTTACAGAGGAACATCCCATTCGTCAATGCCATCGCGAACTTGGTTCTCAAGGAAGGTAGGATCGTTTCGTTTGGATCCTCCTTCGTCAAGACAGGTATGAATATCCTTCTTTAATTCTCACGAAGCGCCACTAATATCTGTAAAGACAGCATAGCGTCCCCTCACCCATCAGTTCGCGCCGAGATCGCCATCCGTACTGCGGAAAGAGCCTTTAACGGCGTCTACAATAGACACCCCACTAAGATTCAATACTTGGTGCTGCCCGACAGCTCAGTGGCCCTGGTCTACGTGATCCAAGTTCAGAACGACGACATTGACTTGTGGCAGGAAGTCTACGTCGACGCCCACACTGGTGAGGTGCATTCTGCGACCGACTTCGTTTCTGAATCTGGCGTAAGGCTCCCCCACTCTTCTGATTGGGTTTCGCTTGACATTTTTAATGCTTTTAGTATGAGGTTGTCCCCGTGGGGAGACAATCCGTCTTGCAAGGTCTCCTCTACCAGGAGGATCCAGAGGACAAGCAATCGTCCCCTCTTGGATGGCACAACGATGGAAAGACCTCGACATCTCACGACACCTCGTACGGAGTTACTTATTCTAATCCTCTTTAGTCATTAATTTCTGCTTTGACTAGGGGCAACAACGTCATCGCCTTTATCAACAACCAGGACAAAACCACGAGGGAAAGCGCCAGCGGATTGCAGTTCAAGTATATCTATGACACCACGAAGGATCCCAAGGATGCAGCCAATCCCGACGCCGCTCGCGTCAACGCGTTCTATGTGATCAACAAGATCCACGACATCGCCTACCGCTACGGGTTCACCGAGAAGGCGTTCAACTTCCAATCGAACAATTTTGGAAAAGGAGGCGCTGAAAACGATCGTGTTCTGATGTGGGTGCAGAACGGCAACGGCAAGAATAATGCAAACTTCGCTGCCCCTCCTGAGTGAGTGCTATTCAATGCAACCTTCAGAAGACGGAATTTATGAATGTTGGTTCTAGCGGTCAATCGGGAACCTGCAAGATGTTCCTCTGGGATCTCAACAAGATGGTTCGTCGGGCGTCTCCTGTGCTCCTGTTGACTATATTGACAGATTGGGTAGCCTATGCGCGACGGTGACTTGGACAACTCTGTCATTATCCATGAAATGACGCACGGTATCTCGAACCGCATGACAGGTGGAGGCACAGGCCGCTGCCTGCAGAGCGTCGAATCCAAAGGTTTGGGTGAAGGCTGGTCTGATACTATGGCGAAGTATATCTTTCCTATCCCGCACTCTCACCCCATCTGATTTCCACATACAGCTGGATTGAACAGAACTCTACATACACGCGCGACTATACCGTTGGAAGCTACGCTATGGGCAACGAAAGCGGTACTAGGCGCTTCCCGTACTCTACTGACCCGTGAGATATGCTCGCCTTCCTAGATACTCAACGACTCACGAAGGGCCACAGGGAGATAAACCCTCTCCGATTCCAACACCTGAATCAAGTTCAAGCGGGTGGTCAGCACCGTGAGTACTCTCTTTCTCTTTGTAACATAAGTGATGACGCAACTCTTGTCCATAGAGGCTGGTCAGATCTGGGCGAATATCCTTCACAACGTCTATGCCACCCTGGTCAAGAAGCATGGGTTTTCGTCCACCGCCAAGACCAATCCCAATGGAAAAGAGGGCAACGTCCTCTTCCTGCACCTTATGCTGGACGCGTTGGCAATCCAGCCGTGCTACCCGAGATGTGAGTCGGCGCCTTTTCGTTCCGTATACTCGGCGCCTAATTTGGGCTACAGTCGTCGACGCCCGGGATGCTTGGATTCAGGCTGACCAGAACAGGTACAACGGAGCTAACAAGTGCCTCCTCTGGAAGGCGTTCGTCAGCCGCGGATTGGGCATGAACGCGAAAGGCACACCTCCCTATGCTGATGGGGAGGATGTCCCCGCTGACTGCGCTTAGAACAGTGTGCTCTGGGGTTCCTGTGGGGAAATCTATAAGTGCACCGTAGATGTTTGTCGGCTTGTATATATTACCTAGATTATCGGAATTCTTCGATAATCACTAGATTTTAAAAAAATCGTGTTCTTTTGCTCCTGCAGGCTGCAGGAAATAACAAACTTTTTTTGGTGAACTAAGTTGAACAGTTCAATGGCTCAAGGGCTACGCCATCATTGTAAAGAGACAGCTTGCGCACAACTTGTGTGTCTGACTTGGGCCGCGTCTTCCGTAAGCGGCGCGCTTGCCTTATTTAAACGGTAGAGCAAGGCGCACCCGCTGATAGCTAGATCCGCGAAGAATTAGAGACCTGATAGTCTATTCTATAATTCCACATTCAACTAGAAGAAGTAGTATCTAGACATTTTTACACACCCTACCACAACCGGTTGATAACATACAGGTGCGATGGTGGACTGGCGAGATGCGGCTGCCACCGAATGACGTCGACGCGAGATCAATTTACTCCCGAGGCTTCCCAATGCTATTATCGAATGCCGCGACGGGAATTATATGATCGTTTGACTGGCGAGACAAGGCAAGGCAACGACGCCGACAGCCAGGGAGAGCTAGAACGGATCAAGGTTGAGCCAGTCGGCCTTGGACCAGGCTCGGGTTGGATATGTTCCTATCTGAGCAGGCAGGTGAGCTCCCCGACCAGGCAACGCAAGCATATTGTTCACAGCGACGGAGACGGAGTACAAGAGGAAGGAGTTCCGCAGCTCATTAACAGCAGACAAGATCTCCACTGCCCCGCCTTCTGCCAGCTTCTGCCCCGCAATCGTCCTTTGATCAGATTGCGGGGTAAACATGTGTCGACGCGCCGATCGGCATAAAGTTGGTGCGGTACTAAACTCCTTGGCACGTACCCTGGGTTTTATTCAAAGGAGAGGTGATATGCTATGACTATGCGAACCTGTTGGGTTAGCGTCGAGCAGAAAGAGGAAAGAAAGAGAAACATAAATTTCTCTTTCTTTTGGTCGAGGAGCTCGGGCCCACGTACCTTTACTAAACCGTGCCGAGCCGGTTCCGGTTATTTTCCCTCCTAATCATCAACTAGCCACATGTTACCTATAGACTCCTTCGGACTGGGGTATCTTCCTTGGCTATCGCGCACTTCTGGGAGCTGCTCCTTCTTCGTACTCGTCATCCTTCGTCAGCTGCTCTTCGTTCCTTCTCTAAACTTTTGCGCTGGGCGCCTTTTCGAGATCATTGATGCCATCAAGTGCTCTTGCCCACTTTCAACTTTCAACGCAACGAAAGAAAGTAAATTCCTATCCAGGCCCTATCCACAGAATAGATTGTTCCGAGGCAAAGCTTTTTTTGCAAAGTTTAGCCAGTGTACGAGTATAAACTTCAATAGGCCCAATGGTTTATAAGTATCTTAGGTGAAAAGGATACAATCTTTCAGCTGAATCGCGCGTTGCGGACCTTGTAGCTCATATTAGAGCAAGGTGGCATGAAATGGACAGCCCTGAGCATAACCCCAGCCGAGCTGCCTCAAAGTCATTCCGCCCCTGGCAGCTCATACCTATTTATAAGTGCCCCCTCCGCAACCGATTTTCCCTCCGTCGAGGAGTAAGTAGACGAGTAGCCGAATTGATATCATTTACTCAGTGCCGGGTTTGCTGTCGCTCTGGAAATAAATCGCTGCCCTCCCTTCAGAGCTCAGCGGGTTGTCGGGAAATCCCCTGGCGGACATTCGTTCGTAACGCCGCTGCGCCCCGTCGTTTAATTTTCAGCTGGGGGTAGATCGGCAATGAACAATACTCGCTGGCGCAATTGTTAGAAGCGTAACTCTTCTGCTCGAGGTCTGTCGCATCGCTCAGCGGATAGAGCATACATGGTCTGATTTGCTCGTTTTCTTCTGAGTCGATATCATATCTTCTATCTGGTATTACCCACGAATGGTTTATTTCCGTCCCCTACCCCGCCTTTGCTCCGCATCGGCACACGGACAGAAAGATCAAGCGCAGATGCCGTCCATGTAATTATTCTCCAACGAAAAAAAAAAGAGACAACTGGAGCTCAAAGCTTTCAATATTGCTTCGGACGGGAATGCATTTGGATTACACAGCAGTACACTATCGTTCTCACTTTCTATGACTACAGTTCAGACATCAGGCTGCCGTTTCATCCACAAATTCATGCGAAAGCTGCCAAGCCGGGGTTAGAGTTTTGCACGACACGCGATCGATGGCTCCTTTTAGGACTTTCCCCAAAAAGGTGGGTGTAAACACGAAACTCTTATAGAAACCCCACAACATACGTTGCCCATTACTCCTCCCCACTTCACCTACCATGTCTGACCAGCCAGAGAGTGTCCCCATCCATCCTGTAGCGCCACGCCTCAGGGCGGGTCCCAAGACCCCTCATATTGGTCCCCATATCGATGCATATCGTCTCGCGCACAAGGAGACCGTTGGCCACGAATCTGATAACTGGTGGGCGAGGGTGAGTAGCGAAGAGTCTCGCTGAGGACTGCTCTGATAATCTACACCTTACTGTGAACTACAGCAAGCACACGCCTTCCTTCACTGGGATCGTCACTTCAAAACCGTTAGAGCGGGCTCGTTTGAGACAGGCGACATCGTATGGTTCCCCGAAGGCGGCCTGAACGCATCGTACAACTGTGTCGACCGCTGGGCATTCAAGCACCCTAACAAGGTATGATTGTACTCTATTTAGCGTGAAGAATGCTGACTCGTTCAATTTTAGACCGCCATCATCTACGAAGGCGACGAGCCCGAAGAAGGTCGCGAAATCAGTTATGCTGAACTCCTCCGCGAGGTTTCGAGTGTCGCAAACGTCCTCAAGTCCTTCGGCGTCAAGAAGGGCGACACCGTCTCTGTCTATCTCCCCATGACCTGGCAAGCGGTCGCCGCTTTCCTCGCATGCGCTCGCATTGGCGCCATCCACTCGGTTGTTTTTGCGGGCTTCTCCGCCGAATCTCTCCGCGATCGCGTTCAAGATTGCAAGTGCAAGGTCCTCATCACATCGGACGAAGGACGACGGGGTGGTAAGACGATCGCCACCAAAGCTATCGTCGATGCCGCATTGAAGGAATGCCCGCTCGTCGAGCACGTCCTTGTGTTGAAGAGGACAGGCAATACAGTGCCTTGGACTGAGGGAAGGGACAAATGGTGGCATGAGGAAGTTCTCAAGGTCCCCAACTACTGCCCACCCGAAGTTATGGCGTCAGAAGATCCGCTCTTCATTCTTTACGTGAGTTACCTCCTTGCGACAAAGAAAGTGAACGCTAATTCAGCTCGAAGACATCTGGATCTACCGGAAAACCCAAAGGTGTCGTTCACACCACTGGTGGCTATCTTCTCTGCGCCGCGATGACGGTAAAATACGTCTTCGACGTCCACCCAGACGACAAATTCGCATGCATGGCAGACGTTGGCTGGATCACAGGACATACGTATGTATTAGACTCAAGTCTCTTAGACTGCAATATTTATAGCTCACCGTCAAACCCCACAGCTACATCGTCTACGGCCCCTTGGCGAACGGAGTTACTACAACTGTCTTTGAGTCTACCCCTGTATACCCAACACCTTCTCGGTACTGGCAGACAGTCGAAAAGCACAAACTCACTCAATTCTACTCTGCGCCGACCGCCATTCGCCTCCTGCGCCGCCTGGGCGAGCACCACGTCGAGCCGCATGATTTGAGCAGTCTCCGCGTCCTGGGTAGCGTTGGCGAGCCGATCAATCCGGAGGCCTGGAATTGGTACAACGAACATGTGGGGAAGATGCAATGCGCTATCGTGGATACTTTCTGGTGCGTAAAAATAGTTTGTATCAGACTTCTGTTGGGGCAGTGGGGTCAGATGAATAGGCTTACTTACCTTCCATCTCCCACAGGCAAACCGAGACGGGGTCGATTGTGGTCACGCCGTTCCCTGGCGCGATTGAAACGAAGCCAGGTTCAGCCACAGTGCCGTTCTTTGGTATCGAACCCGCCATCCTGGATCCTGTCACGGGCGAAGAGCTGCACGGAAATGGGGTCGAAGGTGTTCTTGTCATCAAGCACCCATGGCCGTCAATTGCCCGAACGATTTACCAAGACCACAAGCGATACCAGGAGACGTACATGCAGGTATGTCGTCGTGATTTTTGTTTTTCCGCTGTCGTTCTAATTTTACCTCGTAGCCTTACCCTGGAGCGTTCTATACGGGTGATGGAGCTGCGCGAGATGAGCACGGGTACATCTGGATTAAAGGGCGTGTAGATGGTGCGCCTTTCCAGCTATCACGCCTATGAGCTTCGAATGACATGTCGCCGTAGATGTTATTAACGTGTCCGGACACCGTCTGTCGACGGCTGAGATTGAGTCGGCGCTTATCCTCCACAAAGGAGTCGCTGAGACCGCAGGTGTGTGAACAACTACCGCACTTCAAGGGAAAAAAATTAACCCTTCGTTGGTCAGTCATCGGAACGGCAGACGAGCTGACAGGGCAAGCCGTCTACGCCTTCGTCACCCTCAAACCTGAGTTCAGGTACGACCCCACGGACGAGGCGAGCCTCATCAAAGAGCTCGTCATCCAGGTCCGCAAGGTGATCGGCCCCTTCGCCGCGCCGAAGAAGGTCTTCATCGTCAGTGACCTTCCAAAGACGCGGTCTGGCAAGATTATGCGCCGTATCATGCGGAAGATCGTCGCAGGCGAGGGCGACCAGCTCGGCGACCTCAGCACGCTCGCTGAGCCCGGCGTCGTCGACATTATCAAGGCTAAGGTTGCGGCTTGATCCTCGTTTTGTTATGGTTTTCTTCTCTCGCTATCTCGTATTATGACCCTTAATCTGTCTTACTTCTGTCCTACTTGAGAGCTTTACCTAGGGTTGCAGCAAGATGAAACATCTGTACTTGTAGCACCGATATCTTGAGTGACTGTATTTATAACGAATTTTATGGCTTTTCTCATCTTTGGTTTGAAACACATTATGTATATGCTGACTCTGCTGAAGGAAGTACGACGCCTCCATCTTGAGATAAGCCATGCTTACAGACTCAAAAGCACAACTATGACGACGATTTCAGGCCTTGAGCAATTTATCTGGGTGGCATAGTGTATGCATATTGCAAGGGGATCAAATGACAGCAGGAAAGTAATTGGACGAATAATGAACTCATTGTCCAGGAACCTTTGAGGTCGAAGCACTGGCACCACGAAATCCAATCCACTTCGTGTCGTCGGATCTCCTTTTCCCCAGGGCGGACACAAAGTCTTGAAAGGCTCGATAATCTCCGGACAGAGAGCCCATGTTCTTATAACGCGCCACATACTTTGTGTGATCGAGGCTGCGGCGTCCAGTGTAAATGAGTATGGGCGCTGTGAACCCCTCGCCGCGGATGTACTTCGTAACGTCCTCTCCGGCGTGCCAATTCTTGAATGACTGCCCATCTCGCTTCAATTCTACTCTGACCTGGTCTGAGATGAATCGAACGTCGGCGGCATTGTCATGCTTTTTGAGAAAACCTACATCATTCCGCCCGGGACTTAGTCGAGATGAATGAATGGGTCAAAAGCGAAGAGCCAACCTTTGTTAACCGTGATCCATGATTTGGCGGATGACGTTGAGGCGAGTTGCACGACGCTGACTCCACACCCACGAGCATACTCAACTTTGCGGGCGTTTCCAACTACGTCGTCATCAATCCATACTAACAGGGGGATATTCGGCTCTACGGGATGCTCGTTAACTATCGAGGAAGATACTTTCATTACTAAATAAAGGGAATTATTACCTGCGGTGTAAGTCAGGATGGTCTCTTTCATACTCCGAGACCCGACCAAGTCTTTCAGAGTAGGCATGGTCACGTAGCCGGTGTTATTCTCGTCCAATCGAAGGAGTAAACGTCGAGTTTCTGTCTTGCCTAGCTGCTTCCCCATCCACGAAGAGATGTGCAGGCAAAACTGTTGACTTTTGACGATATCATTCTGCTCGACTTGTTAGATATTAGTCTCGAAATAAGCGATGAAAAGCTCACATCGTTTCCGATGTACATGTGCCAGAAATCCTCTACTCTGATGATGCTCTTTGAGCCTACAATTTTTCCCGGACTTGAGCTCGAGCTCGTTGCGGACGACGAGCAGATCACATTATATCCTGTTATATGCAAATGATTCACCACCTGCATTGCCCCAGTGAGCAGTGTGTAGTGGTTCATCAACCGTTGCCTGTCCTCTTTGAGCTCCTGGTTGACCGCCCATGGATTGAGCATCGCCCAAACCTGTTTCGTTTTGCTCTCCTTCCACGACTTGAGGTGGTTGTCGATACTCCCCAGCGCAAGCTGAAGGTTCTCGAGCGCTCGCTTCACGCCGTCGTTCTTCATGTTGTGGAGGAGCAGCGGTTTGATGACGTTCTGTATCTGCACAGCTACGTCCGCGATGTCACTCATAATAGCGTCATTGTCATCGTGCTGGGCGATGAAGTCGATGATACCCGCCGTGAGGGTGAAGACAGTACTGGCAACATCCATCGCCGATAAGTGGAAGTGTGGTACAGAGATTGAACGAGCTGTGACAATGATTCCGTACAGAGTCCGGACCCGGCAAATGCTGTGTCTTGTTCACATCAGACGGCACTGCATCGATATGTAAGCGCCCGACGAGAGCGCCAGGGACAAAGTTTGAGCTCTATCGACAGCTATCGACGCTGTACAGTGATCAGATTCCGAAATCCTCGTTGTTCAATTGATTCAGTCTCCCTGATAAGCTTTCCATGAACATAGTACTTGATCATGGGCACCGGTATCAGATTTTTCAGAAAATCTGAGAAATTCGTTTGCCGACCTATCAATAACCACAATTTCGTGCGAGGGTCCAGGAGGTTCGCCTCTGCTCTTCTCTCCGGCACCCACTTATTAAGAGTAGCGAGCATACCTACGACATTATACGTGAGGAAGGTAGCTAGTCCAGTCCAAATCTTCGTATGCAGAAGGAGATAATGACCTAAACGTAACAAGGGGTTGAACAAGGAGACAAACTCGAGAGGCTATATAAGCGCCCAGAAGGAGCCCGAGTACCGCTGTGATAAAATCATCAACTATCCTCTCCCAGAATGACATCTCGTCTTGTTTCTTCGTGTTCAACAAGGTGCCAAGGAATGGCATCAAAATAGGCAGCGTGCAGATAAGAATAGCATTGACGCGCCAAAGCCACTTCTCTGCTAGGGTGGGGAACGATGCGGACCACGCAACGAAATGAATGGCTCCGAATAAAATCGCAGCTGATATGGCAACCACGCCGCTGGAGCCCGTATCTTCATCTGCCTCATCCTTGGGAGCATAGAATGTTGGGACCCGGCTGTGATCTCCCTGAAGGGTATCTAGTGAGAGCATGTCGCTCATAGGACCGAAGAAAATGAGAAGAGGTCGCGTTACGAAAACGTGGACGAGTCCGTAGAATGTGCCGCGTTCCCGGCGCTTTTCGGAAATGTATGAGCACAACAGGTGAAACTTGGATGGGGTCTGCACATTTTGGAGTGAAGGTGATCGCCCACGAGAGTCCGGTTTGCTCGAAGCGATGACGGAGGACGGCCTCTTGTCGTCTTCACGCCCGGACACGTCTCCACTGACATCCCCAGGTGTGATAACACCGACCATGGATATCTCAGGCGGCCCGGACGTATCTGACGGTTCTTCTGGGGTTGGCGACGTTCTTTCCTTTTTCTCGTCTTTCAAATAGATTGGTACTGGACACCGCACATCCATCGGTTTATTCCACCAGAGCCAGTAGATGACCCCGCTTAGGATGCCGAACGCCAACGTAACCACCTCGAGCTCGGTAAGAGCTAGCCTGTTTGCTCCGCGACCTATGATCTGGACAACGAACCACGTCGTTTGTAGAATGACAACCCCTTTCGAGAAAAAATCGGCCTTGCTTCTATCCTCGATCTGCTCGACCGTGATCGTGGGCCATTCGATTCGTCCTTGTTCATAAAGATTCGTGAAATCTGTGACCTCCAAGACGCGAAGGAAGGTCTTGTCGTCGTGCAGTTCGAATCCACCCATGGTGAGGAAGAAAGCGTGTGTCGTCGTCCATCCCTGTTCTATATATATGTCGGTTATTCGGGATGGGGTCCAAACATAGACACGTCGGAGCGCACCTCGGAACTGTTTCCCAATCCTTACGGCAGCGAAATGTTGGCGGGCCGCCCATAGAATCACCATCTCCGGCGCAATCAGGAGGTACATCATGATCGCCAGCCGCCGCCCGAAGACCCGCCACAGACTGTCCTTCGCGCCAGGAATATTGGGATGGACAGCGATCCATGTGCAAGCGAAGATTGTCGCGAAACAGCTCCAGATGATGTCCCATATGCTCCTGTCAGAAATATGACTGGTCTCTCGCCGTGATAGAGAGAGATGCTCTGGGTTGAGTGGTAGGGCATACGAACGAGTAATGAGCAGCGTCAAGAGGAGCATAAGTTGGGAAGAAAGAAAGGTGAACCGTGGCGGTGCATGTTGAGAACTCTAAATTAGTCACACGCCCGGGCGCTCATCTTATCGTCCGAAATGCCCTTGGAAGGGTCTACGGATTTGTGTAAACTTTCGCAAAGCAACATAACATCCAGCCAGTAGTATACAAGTCGACATTCGAGTACAGAGGAAAAGGGGCTCATATTTCCATCTCTACGCCACAAAATCAACTGCAGAATGGACCTCTCCAGTGTGCGCATCGACGTGGACTTCCAACCACACGCCCGCTTCATCATTCTGAACCTGGATGACGTGAACGAGAGCGACCGTCCCATTGGACAGTGCCAAGTACTCGATTTTCGTAGGGCTCCCGTTGTACGATGCCCTCGTCATCCTCTCCGCAGCGCTGACAGCAGTCTCGACTGGAATAGTCGGATGAGAAGACGCTATATTATCTTGGATAACATCGGGTCAGTGCCGCGCTATAATGTTGCAGGAAGGTGGGCCCGTACCCGTCTTGACGAAGGAAGATCCAAAGGTCACGAGTTTGCCATCTTTCATGGCCAAGTTAGCGACGGCATTGATGAAGAGGATATTGTCCTGGCACAAGACAGTGAGCTCGAGGAAGAAAGCCTTTGCTTCGTGGAAGGGTTTCAAGACTGACATGAGCTTGAGCGAGATACGCATAGTCGGCTACATCGGAGGAATAGCCGCTCGTGTAGATGACCTCGCCTTCCTTTAATCCGAGCTTTTCTTGGACAACGCTCACGGCGGTCTCCTTCAAGCCGCCCCGTATAGACGAAGGCGGGATGTCGATTCCATTTCCAAAGGTCTGAGGGCACGTTAAGCCGAGAACTAAGGCTTGAATGGATCAATGAAAGCTCACCTGTAGCCTATGTTCTGGACTAAAGACTTCTGCCACGGCCCTCTTGTCGTTGTTGGGGTTCATTGGTCGGTCCGCGGAGGTGGGGAAAATAGCAGCAGGTGGAGAAGTTGAGACTACAAAAGAGTCCTTGAATAGGTTTGTAAAAGGCGTCAAGCTACCAGCAATGGGCAGACTGTAACAGAACGCTTGCAAGTAGACTTATTGTCATGACAGCCACACTTCGATGGCTTGGATGACGTCAAATGACGAGGGGCAACAACAAAAACGAAGGCTATCTCGCAACCCAAACTTTTGACATGGCTACAGAGACCAGCGTCGACGGCGAGTGGCTGGGGATGAATGGGGATGATCGAGCTCTAATCTCCAGGGTGAATGGGCGAGTAGATCAAAGGGTTGCAGGTTGATGACCCCGACACAAACGACCTAGCTCTCCAGGTTTCAAGGTGATGGGTAGATGGGAGGGATTCAGAGAAAGGACTCGGTGAGGGGCCGGTTGAGCGCGCGTTACTTGCAAGTCGCGTCAGCGTGCGACAAGCGTTTTCCAAACGCGCTGTATCGTATACGACACAACACTACATAACACAAAGAAAGGCGTCAAGCGCCGCTGGATTGACTGTGGTGTCATCGCGTTCCACACCAGAAGCCGATCTTAGAGTTCGGATGCGAACCCGATCTCAGGACAGTGAGAACGACACGCTGGAGGCAGCTCACGCGACAATTGAAAAGAACGCAGCTGAATCTATGCCATTAGATTCGCCACACTCCGAACAACTGTGCCGAGAGCAGCAGGTACCAGGCGACCATCCCTCGGGCTGAGTAAGTGCATCGCAGACTGGGGCGGCGATAGTTCTAGAGCGATTTAGATCCACGTACATTCTCGTGGTCGCCCGGGGAACATTGCTTAGAGTTTTTCTTCACTCAAGGTCACCTTCAAGCAGACGGAGGATGGATGGAGGCCGGGCCCCGGACTTGGGGGAGGAGGGGGGGGTGGACCCGGATGGTAAGGGGAGTGGGGTACGGCGGAGTGAGAGGATGAAGGGGGATTGAGGGGATAACGGGGGACTGAGGGGATGGTGGGGGAAAGGAAGAAAGGAGGATGGGGCACGAAAATCTGAAGCGCGGTATTTAAGGAAAACGGGCAGACGCGTCGAGAACGCACGGACCATTCACGCGAAGCAGCGTGACCGCGTGATCTCCTCGGATCGGGTGTATAGCCCCTCGGACTTAGATAACACCCAGATAAGATAGCTAAGCACACTCCGAATCGAACTCCGCTTGCCGGTTCAAGCGGGACAATTTCTTTGATTTTCTCCATTCCAATTGTCCCTCCTGCAGACGGTGCTCCCAGATGGTGCATCGGCAGAACGCCGTGCAGTCTGTAATACTCAACCTGGACAGGTTTCGGTGAGCTGGAAAATTAGACAAGCACAAATGCAGGCTCTGCGGAAACAGGTCCGTCCCTCTCCTCGAAGGTCATTCATCCGCTGACGACTTCGTTTGCTGGCATAGCTAGTTCAAAATTGTGTTCTTTAAAGCGACTCAGCGACTGTCGTTCCATCCGTTCAATCTGTCATTGCGGAATGTTCAAATACTCCAGGGTGGACTTCTATGAAGAGCTGTTCACGGATTCCTCGGTGGTCTTGGCCCAGTGGTGTCCAATCTTGCAACAAGGCGTATTTCACCTCCGTGACTGAATGACTCATGTGAGGTGATGAGCCGGACTGCTCCCTGACCCCGGTAAATCCCTTTTTTTCGACCTTCATCATCACATTCTCGTCGTCCCCTCGATCCCCGACACCTTTCCCATCGAGCCATATGATTCCTCGACACACCCGGAGATCCTCAGTCAGCAAAAGCATCCGTCCCGTGACCGGCACCGCCTCTTTCCCTCTCTTTCCCGTTTCACCGAGACGCTCGGCGCGCCACCCTTTCCTTGTTAGGTAGCCTTTTCCCCCATCAACGCAGTTGCCGCCTCGCCGCCTCTCCCCTATTCCATTCCTGTTTCATTCTTATCTGAAAATTTCTGTTTTTCTTTCTTCCTTCACCCACGGCTCGGATATCTTCCTTGCCGGGCTCTTCTTTCTTCATAGATATAATCCATGTCTACACACTCACACAATATAGAAAATTTAGTTCGTTTTTCCGTCTCTCACCTCCCTCGTTCCTCGCTCTCTCACTCGTATTTCGGAGGCACCGTTGCCTCATTCGTCCCGTTCTCACGCTTAGCGCCCGCATTCGCCATCCGTCTTCGAGTCGCGCGCGCCCACTGGTTAGAGCCGCACAACCACGGAACTGTCCTCGCACCTCAGAGCCACTCATTGCGGTGTTTTGGGTGTGTGTTTGTCATTCATTATTCGCACGATCACCCCACCGTAGGCACATCAGAGGTTTCCTTCCAGTCATCGACGCCGACCCTGGTAAGTGTTGCGCGCTTGCTGTAGCCAACTTTGCAGAATTGTATCTGTTCCTCGGCGTCCCCACGGCGCAACGGCGTAACAGTAAGCTCAGCTCCATCTGATGGTAGAAATTTCGTAACACACCCTACAGGAAAAGCAGCAGCTGAAAGTTGGTATGCTTAAACGCGGTCGGGCGTGAAGAAAGACCAGAAAACCTGAGCGCACTACTCGCTCTTCAACAGCAAGGCTACGAATGTCGCAGAAGTGTCATCTGCCGGTGTGCCTATCTGTATTGAGTCGTATATCGTGCACACGGTTGGCGCTCCCGCACTCCATTCACTCGTCTCGGTCTCAGTGGAAGTCAAGAGATATGTCCACACACATTCCTCAATATTGCATCCTCGTACATATCGGTACCTGGCCATTCCAAGTGGTTTGCGCTCCGCGTTGTGCTACTGGATAAAAAGGCACTCAGCGCCTCTCGATATTGCAACGCGCTCTTCTTCACCTTGTCCTCGTTTATACTTCTAACAACTTTCTTCCAATTATATCATGACCGATACTGTCATCCCTCAGGTTATCATCCTCGACGAGCAAGATGTCGAAGCTAAAGAATGGTACCTTCGTGGCTGCTTTGCTTTCAATAAGAGGACGGGCGGCGCCCAGAAGACCCGCCTCGGGAACCTTCGCGCTGTCCTAACCAACGCCGACCGTATGTGGGACAACGGATCTGTACGTTCCCCTCTTATTTACTCTATTGTCTCATTATTATCTAGACTATCACGTACTGCTTCGTCAAGCCCGTTGGTACACGCATCCAGCAATAAAAAGTCAAGACCGTCACCAAGGAATGGGAGCAGTACGTCAACATCAAGTTCAAGTTCGTCACCAGCAGGAACGCCACCATCCGCATCGCATTCGACGAAGACGAGGGATCGTGGTCTTACATCGCTCGCGATCTCGAGAGCATCCCGTGCAACCAGCCTACGATGAATTATGGCTGGGTGTCCACAAATCCCCAAATTAACGAAGAGGACCGAGGCGTTATCTTGGACGACTTCGGCCACTCGCTTGGACCTCCACGAGCACCAGTCCAGTCGCCGTGGAGAGAAGATCATTCTCGACGAAGAGGGTGCGATTGTGAAATTTACTGGAACACTCTCCTTTGGCTGACAAGCTTCGCGTTATCGAGTTCTATACTCGTACGCAAGGGTGGACCCCAGCCGATGTTCGCCAGCAAATTCTTGACGTCTACGACGACACTGAAGCCAGCAGCTTCTCTTCTATTAACTTGACCTCCATTATGATGTACGTTTCATTCAGATTCATTCTATCTGCGACTTACACGCACTCGAATTTATAGTTACTTCATGCCAAAGGAAATGAACGTCGAACGCATCGAGGTCCCGCCCATCAACAAGCTCTCCGAGTCCGACAAGGCTTATGGGATCATCAACTACCCATTCATCAAGACGCCTTCGTCCAACCCGCTGTGGAACATAGAACACGCGCGCGATGTCGCCGGAGTCCAAGGCGAAGCCCGCGAGCGCATCTTGTCCGAGGGAGACTCGAAGGGAGTTCGCCGTGTGGTGCTTGAACGAGCGCGCGGTCGCTATTGCGAACCGCCTCGCTGCGAAGAGGGCCGCGTTGGAGGCTGCAGGGAAGTCTCAAGTTGTCACAGGATCGACCGCTGAGTCTACAGAGTCGACGAAGAATTGAATTTAATATGTTCATTGGATGGGCTTTGTGGGTTTCTGCCAGTGGGCGTGTTTGTGACTATGTTGTAAATTGGTGACTTCCTGATCTGTTCGTGAAGACACGATGGTATTTGAATGGATCATTCATTTTCTCCGAGCGCTCATGGTGTACCAACACATCTCTGTAGCTTCTCGACGCCCTTGGCGACACTTAGGAGCTAGGTCCACCAAGAAAGGAAGTTCCTTGACCTGAAAAGGAACAGCGTGATCGGGTTTTGAAGGAAGCTAAGCGAATGCCTGATGAAGAAGTACAGCCTATATGAATTACCTGCGGTGGAGACAATTGTCGTGATTTCGCCTACCACAGTGGCGGATCATAAAAAATGGCTCAGCAAGGTAATTTGGCATCCAATGGAGTGAAATTGTGAAGGAGAAAAATCGTGCTTCAGACAAGTTCCAGCCTGAGAGGACATATTTGTCCAGGACAGACAGACATAAGCAATGCTGTGCCGAATTCACATCAGGAGGATTGGAAGCTGTAAGCGCCAGGCTCAGTGAATCCGAGTGAGGCCATTGCATACTGTCACCTGGATGCCGGCTCGACAACCCGTAAAAAGTTCCTTGATAGCACCTTTTGCGTGCCGTCAATTTCGGCCTCCTGTGAGAGCCCTGATGCTCAAATGGCGGAGTAATTAGAGGGCTATACTGCACGAGGCGGGCTAAATATACATGCTGCCCTCTCCAAGGCTGTGCCCAGCAGTGCAGTGGCAGGTTTTAAAATGCCCACGTCGGCTTTGTTGCTCTGAGTGCGCCCACTTCTGCACCTTGTTCAACTTTTATTCCCAAACGTTGTCTAGAAGGTTTCTCTTTTCCGGACGCTCGGGCCCACGGGCGCCGCCGCGGCGATGCCATCCAGAAGGCGGCCTCGGCGTCGAAGGCGATTCCTTCCTCCGCAATCTCATCCTGGTGCGTTGTCAATCGCTATCGCCAGTCTTTAGCTATGAGGCTAAGTCCTAACAACCGCGTCTCTGTTCTATTTGTTAGACCTTTCTATGCTCGCTCATGCGTCAGATATTGACATCATTCAATCAACCATTGTCCAAGCTGGAAACGATGTTATCGTCAATCATTATCATATACATTACGGGGCTGTGAGTTCTTCGCTCTCGTTTTTGGCAGCTTTTCGTCGCATTTGATTCGGGCACTGACCACTTGTCGCGCCATTCATCTAGGATCATGGCACTCTTGTTGTTACCGGTGTCCTGGGTGTTGCTGTTGGCGCGATTGGTTTATTTTGACGTCCGGGTCACATCCGTGGACCTGCTGACCCCAGGCATGGGGCCCCTGTTCTCCATCCCCTCCATGGTGGTACTAGGGAGCTTCAGCTGGGATCGTTGGAACATGGGTGTGTTGCTCGGGGATAAGTGCCAAAAGACCTATTACGCCGGCGCTAACCATGAGTGGGGGATGGTGCACAGGCCAATGATGCACACCCCTCTGGCCGGGAAATGCAGGAGACGGTGGATTGGAAGAAAACGTATCCGGAAACATTTATTACAGCGGAGGAGTGGAGTCAGAAGACGGGGGAAGAGGAAAAGAAGACGAAGGTTCCTTTTTGCGAGTCAAATGACGAAGAACACCACACTTTTCATCACACGTCATGGACTATATTGCCAGTGGCAACTCATGTCGTTGGTATTTTAGGCGATATGCACTTGAGCTGATGTGCACCGCCAACTTGTAAACTGGAGGGATTTGCGATGTTGGGATCTGACGGGGCATTCTTTGGTTGTAGCTACGACTCTGTGAACATTATATTTTGCTCTATGTCCAGAAAGAACTCAGGTTCACTAAGTTGTCGTCCACAATAGAGCACGCTCAATCAATCAAGGTTCTTCGTATTCCAGCCACGACGTTCCTTGTCCCACATGTCAGTACTAATGACCTGCACAGCGTCCATCTGCATGGTCCCCGGATTCCCGTTCATGTTGCCCTGGATCCCATTCAGTGACCTTCACAGAAGCCTTAACCACCTCAAAAGCGCTCCTGAGCAGCTCGCTGACCATCACGCTGGGAGGGTACGGTAGGACGAACATGCACCACAGCTGGACCTTCACCCATTCCTCAAGCATCTCGGGCTCACACGATGCCGCTTCGAACGCGAGGAATGCAAGTGACAAAACCAAATGGTGCAGAACTCGGGGTACGCCTGCAGGGCGGCGAGGAAGGTATGCTCTAGACGAACAATCATAAATAGCTCGGTCAACAACGTGCGAAGTGAACCACATAGAATATCGTAACCTCACTATATGGTTCGCACACCAGCATCCGCCCCGCTGTCTAGTCCCTGCCCACGAATGCATGCTGCTCGTCGTGAGCATGTCAGTAGTGGTGCTCTTACCCATGCTGCTGTACAGCCCGTGTATGCGTGTGTCGCACGTGTCGAGACCTCATGGATAAAGCTCACCATAGTGCGTGACATGGTGGGGTTGAATTTGGCCAAGTCGTGTCTACAAGGGAAAAGAGGGTGAGGTCGAGGGGGATCAAAGGGGGACCAAAAAGGATAGGGGTGGTACCGGGAATGTCGAGGACATTCTGCCCACGCAATGACGGCGAGTTGGCTGAGGCAGGTGCCTAGGAATGGTACCAGGCCTACTTGATGACGAGCATCATGCCCTCCGTACCGCATTGCCCAACTTCATCTGGGACGGGAATATCTCTGGCGATTGATCTCTGAATCAGCAGAGTTGGGTCGTCGTTGAGATAAGATGCACGCAGCGCCGACCACCCTCCACGTGTTGTGGTACGTCTTCGAGTTCACTTTTGCATTTCTGACTGGAGGTAGGAAGATTCCATCCTATGGAGCACGCGTTTAATATGAAGCTTGCATTAAACCTTGGAAAGGACGAAGAGGACCTTCCTGTGCACCTAGAGTATAAAGTGCTCGACATGTCGAAGAACCATGCTTCGCTGTAGCCCAATCATTCAACCGACCCAACGATGATCTCAGAAAAAAGCAGCCAGTTGAGCAACTCGACGGTGCCCTGGTTCTGGAAGAGGAGTGGGACGTGGTACATGCTCAACAGTAAGTATTTGCTCCGATGCGACGTGGCAGAACATCGAGATCTTGTCCTTCGCCTACAGGTGGGTATTCAAATATTCAAGCTTCAAGGGGTCGTGCCTGTTGTGATCCAGAGGAGCGCCAGGTTGCCTCGCAAAAACGCCGACGAAGCGTTAACGATGGAACAGTGATGGAATGACGTCTGTGACTGCGAGGAGATTTTCAAACTCCGCCGCGAGCGGCTCCGGTCAACCGGCCCGCTCCCGTGGTTCGCTTTTGCCCTCGATTCACCACAAAGTTTTGCTGGTGGAAACACTGATTCTTCCAAGGTACGAGTCACGTTCTCGTGGCTCGATTCACAACTTGGTTCACAGTTTTTGGAGGGCCACCACGGGGCTTTTGGCGAAGACTTCAGCAAGAGAGAGATATGAGGCGGGGGTGGCCAGCACAGGCCAATCTTCAAAGCTTCAAGCTTCACCCGCCCTCTCGCTGTCCCCTGCCCATGCTCTTCGACGCCCATTGCATCCCATTGCGCAAATTGTACCTATTCTTCTGCTGTGACTACGAGCTCCAACTCAAGGGAGGCCGCACACGGTACACCTTCCCCGTTGCACCTCTCGGCGTCGTCATCTCCTCGGTCCTTCGAACTTTGCCCATGGTGCTCACTGCGGCTAGGCGAAGCACACGATCGCCCTGCCTGGCGCCTGCCCTTCTGTGTCGGGCCAACACATGCGACATTGGCTGCCAGCGCAACGTTTCGACAAGAAAACGCGGGAGCGCAGCAACGGAGAATCGACACTCTTCGGAGCAGCCAATCTGGGACAGCGACGGAGAGGAGCCACAATCCGCACATCATTCTCACCACCCCAAGCTAACACGCAACGTGTCTCCACTATTTCCCCTTCGCGTTCGCAATCTGTCCAACACCCCCCTCGCCCCCCTGGATATGTCGATGACAGGACTAGCATATAATGGAGAACGACGCTCTTCGGAGCGTCCAATCCACTGTGTGCTTCTCGGTGTTCTCGATATACATGGATCATATCGACCGTCGGCCAACCACAGTCGTATGCCATGTCGATCATGCGAAGGGACGACAGGTTGAGATGGCAGGTAGTGTCTCGCCGTTGTTCACTCTCTTCCTATCATCCCTCGCCCTGCCAATTTCGCGCCCCACTTGCACCGTCAGCAAGTCAAGGCCACACACCTGCGCATCACCGATCAAGCCGCCTTTCTGAAAGTCGTTCTTGCTCGTCGCACGTCACCCTGGTACCCTCCTCATTGAATACCCAACTGTATTTATGGGTCGTCTCCCAATATCCATCTGAGTTTTCTCTTTCCCTCATCCACTGCGCTAGCATTCCAATAATCAGCGTTGACGCTGCGTGCTGTAAAGGTGCGTTGGCGGTTAGAATTTGGTTTCTCCATTCAAATGCCAAGTATTAAATTATTTATTGTTGAAACGACCAGATAGACGCAGTTGTGACTCTTGAGCTTGAACGACTAATTTCGAAGAGATGCAAACTCATGAATCAGGCCGTCGACACATCTGGGTGAGCTGCTTGTTCCACCGCTCACCGCCCTAGCTTACTAATCAGCAAGTGGTTGAAAACACGCGGTGACAGCGTGTAGTCTGTATTTCTTGACGTTCTCCAAGTAGCAACCCTACATTACTCCTCTGTCAGCACCTTCACGTGGAATTCGAAGAGCAACAAATCCTCGCAGCGCAACAAATCCTGGATCGACCGCGAAAAGCGAAAGTTTCTCCGTTGGCTCTACCCTGAGCTTGATTCTTACAAACTGGTTCAAGAAGCGGAGATCCAGACGATAGAAGGGAAACAACGACGTATCACAGAGTTACTGGCCCAACGGAACGGCCCAGGAGCACAATGGGACCAGGCAGCGCGCGATGAGTTTGAGCAATTGGAAGCAGGCCGCGACACAGATCAAAACGTGCTGGCTGGCTTATATGGACGCCTTCGCGAGGAGGAAAGTCTGCGACACCGGCTCAATCGCGACACGTCGAAACACGGACAAGGCCTTGACAGCGCCTGCAGGTGGTGGGCCCAAGAAACAGAGAAGTGGTGTGAAGGACACTGGTTTGGGCGGATATTGGAGTTTCTGGATGAGGTGTCGGAAAGTGGAGAGCCGCTCACCATATCCATTCGGCACAACTACGACGAGGCTCTCCATGACGTTGACAATCCCGAAGGGGAGGGGGAGAGTAGGGAGGGGGAGATGGAAGGGCATGACTCGGAAATTGTACCTCCGTATCCAGCGACGAGTGAGGAGGAAAGGGACGAGCAAGCGGAGTCGCGCAGCGAGGTAGGGGGAGCTGGAGAAGACCAACTTCTCCCCTCAGATCCGACGACCAGTGATCAGCACAACGTCAATTTCTGGTCCAGAAGCTTGGAAAACACGGCCTTCAGGACACCTATTCAGATAGCTCTTATCACTCTCGTTTACTACTCAACCGCCTGTTTGTTCGAGGTCCCAAGATTTCCGACCGAACTTAAGTTGTTACTAGTTGTTAGTACACTATACGGCCTAGTGCGTGTATTATCTATGGAGAAGCGTACGTAGAAGATTCAAGAGTATGTTATTTAGTGTGTATATAACCGCGACCCGTTCTTTCGGTGACGAAGGCCGTGTGTGGGCGAGGGTGAGTGTGTGGGGTGAAGGCCAGGGAGGGAAGGCGAGAGGGCAACAGTGAGAAAGCGAGAGAGCGACGAGCCGGGAGTCATTTCGTCTCCGTCTCATTTCTATCCACCATGCCTGTTCAACGTTCCTCCTTAGCTCGCCTGTCTGCATCGCCTGCTTTCCTGGACACGTATTGCGCGGCCGCGTTGCGCCGAGGGCCACAGCTTGTTGGAACGTGAGCCCTACAGGTGTCCTTTTCTTATAGCTCCTCAATGCCCTTGCCGATCCTTGAGACCTAGGTTCACTGTGACCGAAAGGGGCAGCTCCCTTGCCTAAAAAGGAGCCTGCTCAGGTTTTATCGGCTAAGCGAATGTCGCATGAAGAAGTACTATAATTGGACTTTGTACAAATGTATACTAGGAACGAGAAAGTCGCCCTTGCTGAAGATATTCCCTTTGGTTGTCAGATGGTCTTCTGTTTATCTCTTCCCCCGGGTTCGCGTAGCATCAGTGCCTGCGCCAACCTCTCCTTCGCAGAATCTAATAAATCGTCTTGCGAGTTTTTCGAGGTCGGGAAATTGTTCTACGACGCGCCTTAAAAGGGCCAATGCTGTTCGATGATAGTTATCGTCAATAGGAACAAGCGCCTTCGTGGATTTTAAGCATCCGATGAGGAAGTATTTGATAGCATATTGCGCCTTCTTCAAATTTGTCCCAGGCACCCCTGTATTTGCCTTGTCCGAGTAATTGACAGGAGGAGTAGCAGGGCCCAGAATTCCGCAGAGTGTGTGTAGAATGATGGGAAGGAGCGACACGGTCGGCACATCGTTCATCAGGACAAGACACTCGGGGGCGTACTCGACTGGCGTAGGGTTCACAATCGGGAAAAAGGTTACTGGACAGTTCTTCCCTGTTCCAGGCTCGATATATCGAAACATCGACTTGGTCCCCAAAAAAACAAAATGAGCTGGGTCGCATCTGATCAGGATGTCCGCGACCGTGTCGGTGGACAATGTGCCCCGTGGAGCGATGATCGCGAGCTCCAAGCTCTGAGAGAAATGAGATAGGCCGTGATGATAAAGGGGTAGTTGCACACCTTTTTCGGACCGAATATTCCGTACTCGAAGGCAGCAGTCTTGTTAATAAGGACACAGCGAACGCCAGATGAATGAAGTATCGCGACGATGCCACGTGCTGCATTACAGAAGAGATGCTGACGATCTAGCTTTGACCCAAGGTACTCGCGGGAGATCCTCGGAGTCGTTTCTGGGATGACGATTGGAGGTCCAAAAAGTTCACCAGAATATTTGTCTTCGCCTTCTGCACCGGACTCTGACTTATCTTCCGGATCGTTCGAAGCCTGTTGGATAAAATCAAATTATGGACACTAACAAAACGGAGAATGAGGTACCCACAACGATGGGAGGCTTAATCGTTGGTGACTTCGAGGACAATTGCTCTCCTTCAAGAGAAGCAATGTGTGGATCGGTAGTCTGAGAGATGGAGTCACGAATGCTGGGTCCAGAGGTGTCCACAACGAGGGAAATGTGTTTCAACCTGTCCATCACTTGGGCGCTTCGGTCTTCCCCGGCGAGCGACTCCCCATTATCCGACCCACCATCGGCAGCCGAACAGTCGCTGATCTGGTCTCTTCGACAAAAATCGGCGAACTTGGATGTTGCCTGTCCCAATTTGGGCGAAAAACGTGCGACACGCTCTAGATGAACGAGGAGCGTGCGATGGAAATCGTCGTCGATGGCGATGAGTTCGTGCTTCGACATGACTTTGAAAAGTTGTCTCAACTTCTTGGCTCTCCCTTTATCTGATTGTGCTTGGATTCCCTGGACTACGTCGAATATGACGGACAACGGTGATGGAACCGGCAATTCCAGCAGGCGGTTGATACGGGTGGGCTGATATTGCGGAGGGGGCGGGTTTGGAACTGCGATTAATACGACTTCGCACCAATTTTTCTGCGGTGGTGAAATGCTCGGCTCGTAGTAGCGGAACTGATCAACCTCCATCTTGAACCGCTGCGGGTCGCATCGAACCAATAATTCTGACGCCTGTTCTGTGGAAAGAAGTCCTGGAGTCTGCCCTACCACAACGACCTGAACGATCTGGATGACATCTGTGTTACTCGTAGGGGTACTTCAACAGTCGAAAGCAATACCTTGGGTTTGAATGCTGCACAATAGATCGATGCAGCAGCCTCGTTGATGATAATGCACGTTATCTTGGCCATCTCAAGGATATCAACAACATTCTGCATGGCGTCGGCAAAGATGTCAGTTCTGTTCGGATTGGCCATGTCTGATCGTGGGTAGAATTCGAAATCTGCCTGAGTGGCTCTGGTGAATGACGAGTTAAGAAGAACGAGAGCAGAGTCGGGAGAAACCTTGCAACGTGGACACAGGGCCGAATCGCGTCACGGGGATATGTCCTTATTCGCGATACCTGCCTATCCAGGACTGCGGGCGCTTATTTGTGGCTGTGAGAAGAACACTTTGGATTGCACTGCCTGACACAACGACTTTTCAAGTGATCGGGGATTAAGGACGGGCAGTGCACTCGAAGGCCCTCAAGTTAAGTATCAGGCCCTTCAGGGGTCGGCGGGCCGCCGCCCCTTGGGAAACTGTAACAAGATTTGCCTCTTGGTATGACGAATACCCCAGAGATCCCCCGAGTCACCGGGAAACGACAACATTCTCGCGACTGCGGCGACCACAACAAAAAGTTCGGGCATATCTGACAATTCTTTGTCCGCTTTGGAAGCATGATCGAGACCGCATCGCCTACGGATAGAGAATATCGTGTTTGAAAAGGACGACCGCGCCGACGCCAACTCACAGCACGAGCAGGGTCTACCATAGTGTCTGTTTACTTTCATTGGTAGAAACTTCGTGTATAAGTCATGTACCCTTTACCTGCGGCGACCAGCTCGTTCTTTCATCCATCCAGGCCTGGACTAACCGCCCGAGTGCGCCAGGCGACGCCCTTAATCGAGTTTTAACAGAACTCACGCAAACGTTCTGTTGCGCCATTTTCGCTTCCCCATGCGAGCCGGGGCCTGGTGTGCCACCAAAGCGCCCCTTGCTCGAGGTCAAAAACTTCCCTCATGCTCAAAATATCTCCCGGGACGTTCGGGCCGGGGAGTCGGAACATTTTCTTCGTATCGGAACATTCCACAGTCACGAATGCCTCTTGTGAGTCTTCTGTTCTTCCCTCCACGCGGCTCACTCACTCCAGTACCCAGGATTTCCCGTGCTTCAAAAATGAGAACTTCCTCGACGTCGTAGCAGGCCACCTGACCTTCGACCTCAGTGGCCAGAATGCAAGGCCTCCGAGTGCCCATGGCTTCTTTGTATGTTTGAAGTGGGCTTCGAAGGCGATCTGGAGTCATATAAAAGGTTGGTCGCTTCCTGGAGCGTGTTCGAGTTCCATTTAACTCAAATACCACCTAGAAGTGGGCAAAAGCGATCCAGATCCCAAAAGCCAATGATTGGAATCGGAATTATCGTAGCAAGCGCAGTCACTCTCGTTTGTGGACAGGGCCCAATTACGACAGTTTCGTGAGTGATGTATCGACTCATGAGCTTTGGACTCTGAACCGCAGCAGTAGAACTACAGTTCAGACCACAGCGAGCACCATTCCCGGTGCTCCACAGCCATCGGGGATACCAACGATCACTGACCCCTCGAGCCTCGTCATCCCATTCATCGGAACAACCAACGGCGGGCATGTCTTCCCAGGAGCTACGATCCCTCACGGAATGATTAAGGCTGGTATGGATACAGATTCGCCTGGAAACGTAAGCCTCACGCCTCCCTTCGAGCCACATTTTCCTTCTTAGATCCCATCGTCCATTCTGCTTCCCTAGCATGCAGGATATGACGGTGATCCGAAGTTCAATGTCACTGGATTCTCGCAATTACATGACAGTGGTACGGGTGGAGTAAGCTATTTCAGTGGTATCATCGCTACTGTCCTCACGCATATCGACCTAGTCCATACCCTTGTCCAACTTTAAGCTCTTCCCATTCCTGCAATGTTCCACGTTCGAGAAGTGTCCCACAACCATTGCAAACAGGAAGGTTCTGCGCAGAGTCTTACCCGATGGCTCTCCGGACGACTTCGCTTCGCCAGGATACTTCTCCACGAACCTTGTACGTTTTTTCTTGAAAGGGAATCTTCGGCACTAACAAATGCTTCGACAGACAAACTCTATTCGAGTGGAGTTGACTGCGACGCGTCGAACGGCCTTACATCGGTATACGTTCCCAGCAGGGACAACCAACCCGCGGTTACTCGTCGACATCACGAATGATGGACAGCGCAGCAGCACGGAGCCACAGATGACTCTGGATCCCAATACGGCGCGTGTACAAGGCGGCGCCTCTTTTGCCGCTTCCTTCGGCCCGGGTATGTCTCTTCATCAAAGAAATGCAGAAAACTCACAACGGTGAAGGTCGGTATAAGGCCTTCACTTGTGTCGATTTCAAAGGCGTAGGGTACGATCTCGGGAAGCCCACCGAATACGGCGTCTGGCTGTCCAACTTCCCTGTGCGCGGAACGACGGATCTTCTACAGGTTTACTATGGTGCGTATCACGACTTTTCGCAAAAGCTACGCAAACACGTTCTACGTAGGTTTCATCTCGGAGATGGGTGCCCTCTTTACATTCCCACCTGCACCGGGTGGCGGCCCCACCTCTATCCTTGTGCGCGTTGGCGTCTCTTTCATCTCTGCTTCTCAAGCGTGCGCGAGCGCACAGGAGGAGATACCCGACTTCGACTTCGAGAAGGTCCGTGCTAATAGCCGTGCACAGTGGAACGATTTGTTGGGCAGAATCCAAGTCGATACAAGAGGTGTCGAAGAGGAGACCGTGAAACTGTTTTACTCTTCGGTAAATCCAAGATGCATGGTGTAACGTTTTATTGGCTGAATCGTTTGAAGCTCTATAGGACACACATATCGCCGGCAGATTGTGGGTTTCTCTGCTAAGGTATCTTCAGATGAAATTAATCTCGCTTTTTCCTAGACACTGGCGAAAATCCAAAATGGAACTCGACTGAACCTTACTACGATTCGCTCTATTGCAACGTACGTCCTAGCCCCATCTTGGTCCACTATTCGCGTCTAACAAGTTTCTCATTATAGTGGGACACTTATAGGACACTCTACCCGCTTATGTCTCTCCATGACCCAGTCACTCTGGCGAAGATCGTTCGAGGCATGATCGATATCCAAAAGCACGAAGGTATTTGTCTCATACTTTCCGTGTGCCCTCCGCTTAAGGGTTGAAAGGATGGCTGCCCGAATGTCGCGGAGCAACTGTGATGCATTTTATCCAAGGCGGTAGCAGTATGTTTACTCCGTTCATCCTTCCCGTCTCTGCCTTGACGGCATCGTCTTCTTTTTTTTATAAGATGCCGATCCCATTCTCGCCGAGTTCTTCGTCAAGTTTCAAAAACAAGCAGAGACTCTCCAAGTTTCGGCGACGGATCTGTACGACGCGCTCCTGGCCGACGCAGAACTTCAGCCACCGAACTGGAATTTGCAGGGAAGACAGGCAGATCTATGGAAGGAATTGGGTGAGACCTTCAATGAAGCTTTTCTACGAGTTCTGCTTATTTTGCGATTAATAAAAGGATACATACCGCACGACATGTTCTTCGCCGGTGGCGCCAATACGAAGCAAGTATCAAGGACCCTTGAGGTAAATACGGATTATATCTTTACCAAGATTATAGGCCGGCGCCTTAACTTAACTCAACAGCACGCGTTCAATGATTTTACGATCTCTCAAGTTGCGAGAGCACTCGGAAAAACCGAGGATGCTCGCAAGGTACAGTAATACATTTGCTAGCGTGGGTTCATTGAACGCCTTATTATAAGCCCAACCTCTAGTATCTGCAACGCGCCCGGAACTTTATCAACGTCTGGAATCCGGACATTACCGTACCAGGCGGCCCTGGCGTAGTGGGTATGATGCAGGTCAGTCAGACTACATGCACACGAACGATCTTTCAATTAGCCGGTGGTCGCTAAATTTCCTTCTTAGCCTCGGTTTGCTAATGGGACCTTCAACTTCACGGACCCACGCCATTGCAGCATCCATGATCCAGCCAGGGCGACCTGTTTCTTGAACGCTGCCAACAGAGACGGTTTTTACGAAGGCGAGTTCATCCTTTTCTTTCTTGTAGGTAGTCTCGCCATATTGAATACCATCACTACAGGCTCTCCAATTGTCGTAAGTTCTTGATTGATTTCGAATATCGCTTCTGCTAAAGGAGGCCCATCGGACGGGTGTCTCCTCTAGTATTCACAAGTAAGTAACCCTACCGAACGTGGAATGGATATCAACCTGACGCGATGGTAGTATGTCCCACAAGATACCGCCACGTTGATTGAATTACAAGGGGGACCGGAGAGCTTCATTGCTCGTTTGAACTTCATCTTTGACCAAGTCGATCACTTTCACCTCTTGTTAAACCAACCGCTGATATTATTGTAAATAGGACTACTTCGAGTCAACCAACGAACCGTCGCAGCAGATGCCCTTCATGTATCATTATGCTAACCGACCTGGTTTGAGCACTCAGAGATCCAGGCAAGTCATTGCGCAATTTTTTAATACGTCGAAGAACGGATTGCCTGGGAATGATGGTTCGTTCTTTTGTCGATGTCATATTTCTTAGCCTTTCGCTGACTGTCTTCCAGATTCAGGCAAGCAACCCCTGCTGAATACAATCCATCGGAATTAAGTCATTCTTTCCAGGTGCAATGGGTAGCTACGCCGCGTTTTACCTTTTGGGCCTTTATCCGCTCCCAGCGACCAGGCAGATCTTGTTGTCATCGCCTTATTTCCGGCAAATTTCATTCTTCAACCCCGTCTTCAATACAACAACCAAGATAGTTTCGAAAGGGTTCGCAGGTAATCCTCCCGACGGTACTGGTGGGAAGGTTTTTGTGAAGGTACCTCTCTCGTCCCCCGAGGTTCCTCATGCAAACTAATTGACCAACTCGTTCCCGTTTCACTATTCAGAGCGTTGCTGTCAATGGCAAACCCTACAAATCTAACTGTTATCTCGACTGGGACGTCTTCGTCAATGGATCCTTAGTGGACCTCACTCTTACGGACGACATCACGGTCTCATGTGGGACAGGAAGGGACGCTCTTCCTCCCTCTATCTCGACTGGAGGGTACAACTGATATCACCCGAAGTTTTACTTGGTTTGGGGGAATCAGTGAATCAGAACCTGCACTCAATGTCTATACCACTTCCATTGCGAATCGAGGAGAACGAATGGGTTATTATGATATTAACATCAATACAGGCGTTGTGCGCAACCAAATTTACATCCCCCCCTGGGGACTGATGTAGTTCTCTCACTCGAAGATTTAGCGCCCGTGGGCCTAGGCCGGCCCCTGGTTATGCATGTGACATGATTTCAGAGTTCCGAGGCGCGAGCAGGGTCTCTCACGGTTCTCCTTGCCCCACTTCGAGCAAAATAACCCCAGCGTCCCTTTGAACGTCATGAAGAGTGCTGAGGTTTCTATCTTCCTGAGCGCTAGGCAAGACGTCGTCGACATCCTTGAATCCGATGGGAAAACGTGCGTTCTCATCAAGGAGGCTGCCGCATCGTTGTATCATGCAGGGTTCGACACAGAGGCAGGTTCCTTGGTTCCCAAGATCTTCAACTAGTGACACAAATGCCTTATAGATCGTTCACATTGTCATTATGTCCAAGATCCCGGGACTCATTTCCGAAGAAGAGGCGAAGGCAACACTCATTCGATACGACCCCGACCGCTTTAAATGCGAGGGCGGTGAGCTTCGTTACTGCGAGCCTAGCGTGATACCGCCGAAGAAGAATTGGTGCAGAATCGTTCTCATACCTACTCCAAATCCTCCCCCTCCGCAGTACGAACCGAACCGTACCAAGCGCCTGTTGGACCTACCAGTCGCATCACCCCTTTCCATCATATCGGACGCGATAGCTGGCATTCAGATTGTGCCGGAGAAAGGAAGGGCATCAAAGCTTTTGCGCCTTTTGGACATTGTGTCGAGGCATGAGCTCGTCACGATTGACGAAGAGCACATCAAATGTAACGGACCAGTTATTCGTGAAGATGATGAAGAGGAACTTGACGCAGAGAGCTTGGGCGAAAATGAAGACACCGAAGCAGTTGTTAACCTAGATCTTGGTTCCATAGTGCTGGAGCCACCATCCCCTTCAAAGCAGATCACAACTGCGGGGAAATTCGGGAAATCGTCATCGGCGTTCGCTATGCCTTTTGAAGAGCCTTTGGAAACGGAACAGATGTTGGACTCCTGAAAGGGTACTCGACAGTATCCAAAGAAATGTGCAAGGGAGCGTGGTTCGAAGAGACGAACTTTTTTCCTCGGGCCGAGCCACCCGTGGCTCCGGGGTGAGACATCAGTTCTCCCTCCTCTACGCTGGCAGGGTCTGGGTTTTTTTTGCCAATACTGAGCCTCAATGTCCATAATATATTTTTGTTAAAATGGGAGACTATCAAGGAAAGTTTCGGGTAGAGCTACCTCTGCAAATCTGTGGCTACACGGTCATGCACAATGAATATCAGCCACGGGGTGGCTCTGTGGCTCCCTGTGGCTGTTGCACAAACTCTCTATTCTTTTCGGCCTCGGAGCAGACTGTGCGCTCTTCGGAGGATTAGCGAGCCGACTGTATGGCAGTCCACGAGTTCCCTTCGTACGTTCCTATTATAAGTCGCTATTTATTTTCTGACCATCGTTGATATTCTTATTATCCAGGATATAGAGATGCTTGTGCAACCTCGAGGATCTTCAAGGACTCCAGACGCACTGAAACGAGCCATTTGCGGTCATGATTCACATTTATTCTTCGGTGATGTTCTCCACTTCCGGGTCAATGGGCCAAAGCGCCTGGCTCCCAATGGGACTTTCCCAGGCAATGCCTGCAAGATCTATATCATCATGCCTAGTGAGCTGCGTCTCCCTGGAACTGCCTTGTCTCCGAGTAGGGTTGAAGTTCGAGAATGCCTTCCAATTCTTCCATACCCTGTCCTCTTGTTACAGAAGATTCAGGAATGGGATGCCAATCGGAAAAAGCCTGACATTCCAAATACTTACCAACGACATCGCATCGATGCGGACACTATACTTGGTTTGTTGAAACTGGAGCCTCTGGTTGAGTTGCCGAAGACCAGACCATGGGGAGATCGCAGTCTATTCAGTAAAGAATTTATGGCACTATCGACGCAGAGGGTGAGGGAGTTTTACGTTGCGTATCCAAAGAGTAAGCCAGAGTTCGTCAGTATTGGGTTTTGATTGGCTTTTAGAGAAGAATCACGGATGTAGTTTCCCGTAGTGTCGACAAGGGGATCATTGTATTCTCCCTAGCGCACGAAGTTGAACCGGGCTGTAGTGCATCCGAACTCGCAGACGTGATATTATGAGACAGCTGGCCATCCGCTGAACAGTCGCGAATGATACTGTCCAGCAGTTTGCTGGGCGGTTGATGCATAAACTATACTAAGCGTACAGATGAATCGACATCTAGCGACGGCAAGAGCTGACCGCCCGGTCCACGCCGGTGCCCCGGCAGATAGTAGGTACATCCCTTCCAACTTCAGGATGTGTTGCAAACAAAATTTCAACCGTCATAGCACCTTCCTTCTTTACCTCTCATTACCCCGCAGAACGGCAGAGTATGTTCTCTGATTGTCTCTCCTCTCATCGTCGTAAATGGCCTCCCATTCCTCCTCTGAGAAGCCCGATTCCGAGCTCTCCCAGTAGTCCTCGTCGAGCGCAATGACGTCAGGGAGGCGCTTCAGGACTTCGAAGTCCTTTGCGACGCCCTTCTTCTTTGCTGGACGGGCGATACCCAGCAGATCAACCTCGAAGCGCACTTCTTCTTCAGGCTTGGTAGGGACGGCTGTGTCCCCGAAGTCGACTTGGAAGTCGTACACGTCGTCGTCAGTGATTCGGATCTGAGGGTCCTCGTCGTCAACACGAACGGTGTTATCGTTCGCCCAGTTCGATCCATTGCGTCCGGGATTGCGGCGCACGCTCTGGGGAATGTAGTTTTCCTGCTGGTACTTGAGAGCGCGTACAAGGGAGAGGCATGAAGGATGCCGTACCTTGGTTCCAGTAGTGATGGGGTTCATCTTTGTCAGTGCAGAGTTAAAGAGAATGCCTTCTGCGTGTGCTTTAGCACGGACAGACTGAGATAAAATCGGTTAAAATACGGAGAAGACGCTCTAGCATGCGCTCGAACGAACTTTGGTGAATGCTTCTCGTCGAGAAAGAGCCTTGTAACTGGAACGAGTCATAGTAGTCGACGGTGTTGAATAGGCAATTATGTGGTTTGGAGGAGAGTAGATCTCGTTTTCCAGTTTTTTTCTCCTCCATGCCAGAGTTCCTGTTTATGTATTCTTTTGAGTTGAGTCATTCGCTGTAATTATTCAGCAAGCTTTATGTGACTTGGTAATGACTCACGAAACAAGAGCCCGGAAAGCGTCGACAGACACTGCCCTCTGTCCTCCGGTGCCGCCATCGTCGGAGTAAACCTGTGCAGTATGGGTGTAAAGGTGATACATCACGGCGGGGAAAATCGAATCACGATGCGTAAACCTATTGGCATTGAAATTTATCTTATCTTATCTTATCTGGGCTTCAGCATTCTCACGAACAGTTTGAGCCGAATTCGGGACGCGTCGAGATGGTCCACCTTCCCTTAGCTTCCTGTCTTCCTATTTGCATGCTTTCTACAGACATTTCTCTGTCAGACGGCCAAATCCATTGAACTCGAACGAGATATCTTAACACCGTCGACGTCAGTCCGTTTGATTTTCAGCTTCGTTCTCCCTGAATGCGACGAATCATGTAGAGTGGCACAAGGGCCCTTAACACTTAGTTCTTCACCAACTCTTCACGTCCTTATTCCTCGTCAGCAACGACAATGTATCCATGACTCGCAACCGCAAGCCTGCTCAAAGGGTCTCCATCGTTTCTCGCGTTGCAAGAGTGGCAGTGAACGAGCTCGAAGATTTCGGAGTAACGTGTGTTCTGATGGGGGAGATCGCTGGCTATAAGTATGTTGGGAAGAAAATTCCTACAGTGCGTGCTTTTGGCTCTCTCACTTCAACGTGCTGACCAGCACACAGGGCGTTCAGATTGTTGTGATGTCCTCGACTCCTCGAAACCCACGACGTGAAGGAGATGCTCATTGGCAACGACTCAGAGCACTTTGGATACAAGAATTCAAAACTCTGCTTTTGGATGCCGCGGTTGGGTCGCCGCAAAAGGAATGGTGCTTCGTCCGCCTGACAGCAGTGCCGAATCCGCCTCCAGCCTCGTACGAGGCCAGTCGCATCGTCCACGTCTCCGACATGCCGGTGGTTTCTATTTTTCCAATTGTCTTTCATATCGGCCGTGACGCCGAAAGTCTTTAAAGAATCTCAACAAGAAGTTGAGCAAATTGCTGCCACCTCTTGCCAAAAAATTCTGGGCCATTCTTCCGATTGACAGTACCTTCCATGAAGAACTGCTCGAGGCCCTTGAATACGTCAGTTCGTTTTCGCCGTCCTACCTGGGCCTGGTCGCGCCATTTATTCGATTTTGCCGAACGCAACTTTGTCTGCCTGTCGACGACCTTCCTGTTCAACCTGAGAGTGAACTAGACAGCGAACCTCAACTGCCGACGGTGACGACGACGACGACGACAACGAGGATGGGGAGGAATCTCCAATCACCATCCTGGAAACAACCCCAAATATTTCTTGCAGACACGTAGGATCGAAAGTCGACCAGCAGAAGCTTGCATGCGAGGCAGTGCGCTGTGTCGTTGCCACTTTTCCTGCGGCCGGCATCCGTTGCATCCTGGATAACAGAACTGCCGCCTTTGAATGCGGTTTAGTCGGTGTGCCCAAAGTGAGTCCATTCAGTCATGGAAGTGTCCGACCAACATCATCACGACGATCAAATTATAGAATTATCCACCATCTCTGGCATCTTATCTCCCGACAAGATGATGGCTATTCTGCAAGGGCTATCCGAGTCATTTTCGCTTCATGGGAACTTAATTCGAGTATTGCGACCCTAGCTTGCACAAATCATTCATGTCGGTAGCTCTCCTTTCAATCTCCAATCCGACGCCATTCGAGTACTCTCCTGAACGTTGATCCTGGTGAACGACGTGCCTTCTCTCTCATTGCTGCCCATCATGCCTTACACCCTCTACGAGATTCTTATCCCTCTCACGCCTCTCCAGCCTCCGTGGAGACTCGGTGTTGGACGCCGTGCTGCCACCGGTCTTCAACAAAGTCCGTGCAGGCAACAAGTATTTCTTCATAGAGTGCTTGCGAGCGACGAACGCGCTCTTACCATTCGATGATCAGTATCATCAGGCAGCGTTGTCGCTCCTCCGGCACATCGCGGAACTGTTTCCAGAGCTCGAGGGGCTTACTATGCGATTTGTCAAGTTTGTCAAGACGGCCTCATTGCCAATTGTATTACGCCCGTTGATGCTGTAACTGAGGAGGAAACAAACGCGTCGTATGCCTGAAGGTAGAAACAGACCTCTTTTTAGCGCCCGTGCGTCGTGGACATTCTAGACTGATGGCTTGCTATTCTTAATGAACTCGATTTTCACTGGCTGATATCTTTGGCTCCTGGAGGTTGCCGACGGCTCGCGGCTCTTCCCATGTGCAGCGTGCCTCCCATGAGGCCCACAGTTGAAAACAAACGGCCTCGAGCCACTTGCTCAACACCTACCCTCACCCTGTCAAACATCAATCGATGGCGAAATCCAAAGCAAATAGGAAGATTACCATTATGAGTGCGAGAAGAGACGTTGTCAAAGCACTCGAATCAGTCGGATTTCGATGCATGCTGATCAAGGACGTGGCGGCTTCTCTCTACGACACAGCGCTTGTCCCTATGGTATGTCGGTCTCTGATCATCCTGACGTGAAGATAACTCAGAGGGCCCGTTAGAGCGTCCATGTAGCATTTATTCCAAGAACTTCAAGTTCTAGGGGTCTTTCCGCAGGAGAGGTAGCTCAGATCATTGCGCAACAGAACCCGACAAAGTTCCGAGTTCGAAAGTCTCATCTGCGCTACTTCGAGCATAGCATTTTGCCGCCGAAGCAAAACTGGTGCCAAATTACACTAGTCCCACTTTCACATCCTCCACCACGGCAATACGAGTCTGATTTTATCCAATATCGATCAGGCTTACCAGTCGTGTCAGTGCTGCCAGTCGCCTTCGATGCAATTTCGGACATCCAAACGGCTCCGAAACTGAAGAAACCAAAAGGAAAGAAGCTCTTCCAGCTCTTGAAGGCCCTATCCGTCTGCAAGCCAATCGCCATCGACGACGAATTTCATGGCGCGCTCCTCGTTCATCTCAATCGCATCGCTAGTTTCTCGCCTGAATGGCGAGGGATCGTTTCCAAATTTGTCCTATTCTGTCAGGGAGAACCGACGTCTATCCAAGCAACAAGTGAAGCTGTTGATATGGTCGCCGAAGGAGCTGATGTGGAAAGCATATCCGACTCTGAAGACGACGACGCCGAAGAGGACGAAACAGAGCCGTCCGGGCCAATCGACACACGTGCACCTACAGTGGCAGAAAGGCCGCTGCCGGCCTCGATAACGCCTTTTCCTGCTGTCCAACCCACCGTGGCCCTGGTTCGTCCGTATATCAAGAAGAAAAGGCAGGATAGGCAAGTAGTGGTCTCAAACGCTACACGCGCTGTAGTTCGCCTGCTGCAATCCCGAGGGATCAACTGCGTACTTCATAAACGAATCGCGGCATTCGAATATGGTATTCGAAACGCGCCAGGGGTGAGTAACATTTTACAAGGACATGCAACTAGTGCTCATAGAGGTTGTCTCTACTCTAGGAGGTTGAGCTTGCAATCTTGAAGGGAACAGGGCAACATTTATCCAAGGATCAGATAGAACGATCTCTTCTTCAAGAGAAGCCAGATCTTTTCGCGTTTCGGCCCTCGGAGAACGGTGGCACTCAGAGGATCTTTTGCTATTTCGACCCTACGATCGCACCTCCCACCAAAAACCATTGCGAAGTAGTTTTCACGCTGATCGAGATCCCGTTAACTTCGAAATACCAAACAGACCGTCTCGTGCAGCTCAATGGACTTCTTGCGGTGTCGCTGTTACCCGTTGTGGTAGACACCCTGCCCGTCTTCTTGGAGTTATCACGACAGGGTAGGGCTGCTCAAAAGCTCCTTAGACAGGTGGTCCCCATGTTCTTCCGTAGGTGTTCGACTTCGATGGAGGCACTCCTTCCCATCGATGAGGCGTACCATCGGGAGGCGCTCTCAGTTTTCAACGAGACCTGCAATTCGATCCCCGATCTCGCGCAACATTTGAAACCTTTCGTCGACTTTTGTCGCAAATTCATGTCTTCTACCGACAACATTGTACCAATGCCCCAAGAAACTACACAGCTTTCTCGATCTGCGTCTACCGAACAAATCATTTCAGTAGCAGCGACGAATCACCCTCCACTGTCTGTCGCTGAAGGCCTACGAACCTCCATCCCGATCTCAAGGTCTTCAGTCGTCGCTGAAGCTGGATCTCGATTCTCTCGGCAACGAAGAAAGCGGAAAAGTCAAACTGCTGGGGCAATCAATCGCCCACAAGCCGCTTGCATCATCGCCAGACGAGTAGTAGATATTCTTCACAGCCTCGGAGTGGGGTGCGCACTCTTCGGGAGTTTGGCGAGTCATTTGTATGGGAACCAACGTTATCCTCAAGTGAGTTGCAGGTCGAGCAACCTTTCTTCCTTCGTGCTGACGACCTTCCAGGACGTCGACATGCTAACATTCCCTCCTTCTGAATCAATGATGACCCAAGAATCCTTGAAAGAGGCTATCGTCGCCAATGACTCACAATTCTTCTTGAAGGACGCCAAGGACCCGCAGGCCACCTATCGAGTCCTGTATTTCCAGGTTGATGAAGACTTCGCCCCGAAACGCACCTTTAGGAGCAACAGATGCAAGGTCGACATTCTCATTCCGGGCACGATGCACCTCCCGGCTTTGTCGCCCGATATGATCCAAGTTCGAAACACTCTCCCGGTCATTCCATATTCCCTGCTCCTTCTGCACAAGGTGCAAGCCTGGGATGATCATCGCAAGATGACCGACGAGCCACACAAGTACGAGAAGCATACCATCGACGCTAAAGATGTTTTAAACCTTTTAAAATCGGAGCATGTCGTGCCTTTGAGGCAGAACAGGCCATGGGCCGATCGTACCCTGTTCAGTGAAGAATTCTATGGCTTGTCGAGGCAACGGGTCAGGGAATTCTATGTTGCGCACCCGAGGAGCATGCAGGAGTTTATCAATCTTGGGTTTTGATTTTGAATAGCTATCCTGAACGTGTCGTTGTTCTCCATTGCGATATAAATGACCCCTATGTTTTCCTCGTCATCTTATCTCATTTGTTTTGCCAAGCGAAATGATTTTGATTTAACTGTCCGCTGATCCTCTTTCATCTCTTCCTCTCGAAGGCTGGCACTGGGCTGGAATGTTTGGCCGCTTCGATTCAGGATACAAACCGACGACGTTAAAGTCCCCTGACGGCGTCATACATCTCGAATATCATCCTAACCGAGTCCCGCCTAAGCCTCGAGGCGAAGGTTATTGGACACGCTTCGTCTGTGTCAGTGACACCCATTCGCGTTCATTCAGCGTTCCGGACGGAGATGTGCTTTTGCATGCGGGAGATCTGACGAACACGGGCACGGTGTCGGACTTTGAGAAGACAGTGAACTGGCTGGCGGAGCTACCGCACAAGATCAAGATGTACGTTTGATGTATTGCTTTTTTGCCCATAACAAACTCTCGTTTCTTTAGAATTATTGCCGGGAACCACGATCTGACTTTGCACAAAATCTGGTATGACCAGAACTTCGACAGATGGCATCGTCTTCTCGGGAAGCAGGTGGGCATTTTCCTATCCCTCATAGCGCTCTTTGTTGCGATGAGTTAGTAATCCAGTTGTAGAACCTCAAACCGATCATGCTCTTGCTTAAAGGTTCAAAGGCGGTGAAAGGAGGCATCGTGTACCTACAGGATGAGGAGTTCAAGTTCAGAACCCGGGAAGGCGGGAAGGAATGGAGTGTGTATGGCTCGCCGGTGAGTGATTACTGCGACTGTCGGATGTGTATTCAAGCTTCACGCCCCATTTTTTGCCGTCAGTGGTCTCCCGAATTCCTGAACTGGGCGTTCAACTACCCGCGTGAGGAAGGAGAAGGTATGTTGCGCCACAAGTTCTGTCGTCCTTATGGCCAACTTAATCACACTTAGAGCTTGTTCGTAAATTCCCAAAGACCGATATTCTGTAGGTGTTCTCTGTCTTTCATCTTCAGGATATTCACCCTCCACGTAGGCTGACACACGGACCTGCCCATCAAATATTCGACCGCGTCCACAATGGACCCGACACCGGGTGCGAGGCTCTGCGTGCCCGCCTCCCTGACCTCCGCCCACGCCTGCACGTTGTGGGGCACATCCACGAGGCACGAGGCGCCTGTATACACTATTGGCCGGAAGGCGAGGACAAAGGCGAGGCACCAATCGTACAAAACGATGCGCCTTTGGAGGCACTTGTTACGGGCCTCGCCGAGAGCGAGAGCCTTGAGGACGCCGGGAGGCAGGGGTCGACGGCTTTCGTGAACGCCGCGAATTGGCCTATGGGCGACAAGGCTATGCGCAATGGGGTTAGAACACCTTTTGGGGGTGCCGGGTTCCAACCTATAATCGTTGACCTGAAAGAGTAATGTGCGCGGTTTGACGTTTGCTTTCGTGCTTTCACGTTTTGTGAGTTTAGTAATTATCGTTCGGGTGTCAAAAAGACTGAATTTTCTAGGCCTGTACCTCTGTAGATCAATCTATGTATAGCATTAATAATGTCACCTACTTTGGGCCCCGCTCAGTCGGTTGTTTGTCGCTCATTCAGACTTTCGCCGAGCCCTCTCCAGTACCTGTGACTCATGGAAGTTCATCCTTCGGAACCATAGCTGCCCATCAATTATTTCTGACTTGTTGGTGTACCTTCCTCTATGCGACAGTTGTTTAAGATCGCGCAATTGCGCAAACCAGTTGCCTGCGCTAGCGCGCCTCACCAATCCTCTGCAACTCACCGCAATCGCCTTCGAAGCTGGATAAGAACAACTTGAGTTCGCAAATCAATTTACACACCGCAAGACACCCCAAGTATGAAAGGCAAATATCAAGGCAGTCCCAAAAGTCGTGGACAAAACACAAAGGTGCTGGCATTTGCGCTGGTTGCTTAGAACCAAGTTAACACTCATTTATCCCTAGGCTGTCCGGGCCAAGGCCCATGCAGAAGGCCTCACCTTCGCGCGCGCGTACGGAGAAATGTGTGGTGATCCATGGGCTTCTCTTAGGTCATGGCGGGAGCCACGAATCAGGCGGTGCAATCATGGAAGAAACGACATCGGATGGCGGTCGGACGCCACTTTCCGTGTGGACGACGAGGACCTACAAGTTCAGTTGGCGTACGAGGACGTGTACGACTTTCAGGTCGATTTCTCTGACGTGAAGAAGGATGAGTGGGATCTCTGGGAGAAGCGAAAGCGAAAAGGTGCAGAGAAAGTCGAGATAGAGCTGATGCACCTTGCACATCCCGCGAAGAGGAGAGGACCTGCCCAGGATTTCGAGGTTGTACAGAGGGTGAAAGACGTCATTGCACTGAGCGAAGACGAGGTCGAGTACTCTGATTGGGGGAAACTGGACCTTGTGGACGAAGAGTGGGAGGCAATTTTTGACGAGAGCAAAGTAAAGACGAGCTATTCGGCTGCTGTACGTGGAAACGGAGGATGATATGTCGGAAAAATCGAATTTCCCATATATGATCATATACGGAAATATAAGGACCTGTTAGGACGTCAGATGATCGGGAATCATATCGACGGTGAAAAGTCACCCATCCATGTGTGCAAGCATTATCGAACTTATAGTTCTGACACCCTACTTAGGCCTGATCTTGTCTGCATGGCTGTTCAGGCCTTCTCCGGTGTTATAATGGCAAATAGGTGTCTTCAGAAAAACCTACAAATACTGGCCACAAAAATCATATTCGGGGACCCTGAAGCTTGTCCTATCCAAAATAAGGGAATTAAAAATGATTTTCATTTTCTACTCTAGGAGAATTACATGCCCCGCCTTCGGACTTTACATTTCCGTTGTACAAACAAAAGAAGCCGACATTTCGAGCTCGAGGGAACAGCCGATCGCGGTACAGCAGTCTTGAATGAAGTTAGCTCAAATTCATTGCGCTAACAGAACCTTACCAGTTACCATTCGTGTAGAGAGGTGAGCCAGCCACCCTTTCCGTCAAAGTCAGCTGCAGCTTTCTAGCGCATGTAAAGACGGACGCACGACGTTCGCAGAGTCAGTGCCCCTGGCCCCGCATGTTACCTGTTTCTCACAGCTGATGCCTTAGAGAAAAGAAGAGTTCCTAGTTGTGCTAGTCAGTGTTGAAATACAGAGACGTACAAGGTGCGCACCGAGTATAAGACACCCTGCTGAGTGAAGTCCAGCTAGGTCAGCAGGGGATACATGAATGGGGTAGGACGCACCGTCAGACAGAAGGCAGGTAGCGCCGACGTTCATCCAATCTCGAACTCGGTCAGCCAGAAGGAACTGCGCTGGAATGAGACGACGAAAGCCCGTTTTTATATCCCTTTCACACCTGGACCTCGGCGCCTAGATATCGCCCCGAGACTAATCTCCGACTCGGAATTCACAAGCTTAACCGACTGCCGGAGGGATGTGGGCGCTTCGAGGCACTAATTCCTAATTCGACTCCGAGATGTGTAAGTATGCTGACGAGACTTTCCCCTTCGTCCAGGTCTATGGTCCACGGCCACGGAGGTTCAGACTTTTGGGAAGCTCTCATGCCCTAGGATATGCTCAGAACTTCAAGTCCGCTCACGAGCTGAATAAATGGACACTCGCCTTAGTCGAAATGAAAACACTTTGAAGATGATTCAGTGTTTCGAGAGGGTGAGAGGTATCTTCTTTTGAATGCCTTCTTTGAAAACTAGGGCCTTTCGAGGTGAAATGATCAGATGTGATAAGGACTTACCAGAGGTTACGGATTTCTGACGCTCCGCTTACAGGCGTCTATCATAGATTATCAGCATCCCCACGCCAGCGTATCAGCGGGGCCAGGGGTGCCAGGAGCCGCAAGGCCTTATAATGGAAATCGTGTTTTTCCGACATATAGTGTAGCCAAGGATCCTGAGGTCCAGACGGGTTTACTGAACATGCAAAAAGTTACGAACCCTACAGTAGTTAATTTCTTCGTGGGCAGATAAGTCACAACTATATGAATAAATAGCGTTGAGGCTTTTGGGCCAGACTACGTAAATATTATCCTTTTCATAGTAGCCTATAACCGGCAACATTACATAAGTTGGGCTTTGCGCAGGCATTTCCCGTCTGGGTATCCCTTATTCCAGAAAAGGATTCCCCAAAAAAATGTACCGTCAATGCATACATGAACTTTCGTCTTCCTCCCCCAACCACCACAAAAGCCTTTCCACTCCGTCATCCTCTGCGATTGTCTATGCTCGAGGGAGTCTCCTTTCCGTGAGCAAAAACGGCGCCTATGGGGTATCGCCAGAACTATGAGTATGGAATATGTGCACTGTCATGCATGCTGAAGGGGTCGTTTGACGCGTCCCGTGCGCTGGCGCGCACCGGCCATGGTCACTAACCACTACCTCACGCAAGGCCTGTTGTTACGATTGTAGGAAGACAGAATCATAGCTTGGTACGTCAACGCACATTTAGTGTGTAGTGGAGGCATACATCGGTCACATTCTCTTTGCATATTTGATGGATTCCGCAAGTCAGCCATGCATACCCCACACGCATTGCGAACCAATCCCCCCTCGTTGCTCTTCTCTGACTTTTTCATGTTATCTATCCAGGATGATTCGCTCGTTGAGGAGCATACATATGCTTGTTATTTCGCAGCAGGCTTGGAGGCGACTAAACAGACCAATGTGTGCCAATCTTTTCCATCTCTTGTAGACAGAACAGTCTTGAGGATTCCCAGATTTTGATGACACAATGAAAAAAGAATGTATGCACCACGTCCGTTCATACACACCGTTAGTCCAAGTCTGCGGATTCATCTGCAGTGTCCCTCAGCAGAGTCGCTCTTCTCCGACATCACTGCTGAATCCAATTTGGCATAGTTAGACGTCGACAAAGTTCAGATTACTGACAAATCACTTTCAATAGGGATATTGTTACGTTAGGAGATTAACTGGAAGGCGCAACACCTGTCTACCAACGCCTACTACGCATAAATCCGTAACCCCCTCGTTTTAGCTTAATCCCCTGCCTTTGAGAAAGGTGATAGTGGATGACTGTCCGTAAGCATTTATTCGCCGCAATAGATTATATTCGTGCTCCTTGGCGGTGATGCCGCGATGCCGCTGCCAACATGTCAACGCGGATTATCCGTCGTGCCTGGTTGGGCCCCTCAATAAACCTTAATCTATTCAGAGGGTCCTACCCCCTCGAATAGACTTTTTTCGGTCGAATAAACTGTTTGTCCTGTGATGCACAACCAAACAACTCCCTGTTTGCTTACGCCGTGCTCTTATCTTAACCTTCGTCATCGTCCATCGTTGTCGTCCATCGTTGCCCATCGAGCTTGCCAAAGCCCCCTTCATGTGTGAGAGTGAGTCATTACATGCTACTACTTCCTTGTACCATGCTAATCACATCCAATCATGAGCAGGGTCTGCAATTAGGTCCTTTATTGGCTGCAGCCCGCATTGCCAGGGGCTTAATTGCGCTCGCTAGCGGTCTTGAGACGGTCTTGAATGGCTTGAGGAACATTATCAAAGGCTTAGGAGGGGAAATGAGGAGCAGAAGACAGCTGAAATGCATGGAGAGATAGGTATAAAAGTGGTGAGTCGTTGCTGCTACCTCCCAGGCTTCGTGTCACCAAAACTCAGCTCGTTCTACCTCTTCATCAACCGCTATGGACCCCAACCAACTTACCCCTGTTCCTGGCAACCCTAACATCCGATATGACAGGTTTGGGTGGCCATATGTCCAAGATGTCTCTGGTCATTGGGTTCAGTTATACACGCCAACCATGGTGACTTCTCAGGTAGGTACCCTACCCTATATGGTGTCTCTACATGTCTCAATCCCTCTTTCCTTCTCTTTCAGTCTGTCCCTACTGCAACTCATGGATTTCCTGCTGTGTCCCAGAACGAAACTGCCCCAGTACGTTTTGTTATATCTTATTGTTGTCTACACCAGTCCTGACTTGTTTTCGTCAGACTCGCCCCCATAATAACATGGAGGATGGTCCAAACCAACCGCTTTCTGAGGCTCTTGTGGTATGTAGCCTCCTAGATCATATATCTCCTTTGTTCTAATGCTGTGTTAGATTGTTACATCCACTTGAGCCCCGACAGCTGGCCCTTCTACTGCAGTGATCGATCCAGTGCTTTTACCTCTTCCTGAGGTCTCGGACGACGACCTCTCTGACCCGGTCACAATTGTGAAGTCCCGGGGCCATGCCGCTGCGAAGAAGGTCGCTGGATCACGTCAGAAGGGCAAGGGCAAACAGCGCGCTGTACTAACCGAGTCTCGCGATAAGGGAAAGGAGAAGGCCACCGCTCGCAAGTGCAGGCATGCCTCGGATGATGAAGAAGTTGAGGTAGTAGCCAAGCGTGGCCATCCCAAGGGTGCTGGCAACTACACTGCAGATGAGGTTGATGCCCTCCTTGACTTTGTCGAGGAGGAGCTCCCTCTTGGCCAACGCGGGTGGCAGTCCATCCACCGTGGTTTCACTTGCTGGGCTCGTCGTAACGATGCTGCTGAACGCACGTTAAAGTCTCTGGAGACCAAGTTCAAACAGGTCAGCCGTTTTTGGTTATATGTAAGAAACATTGTTACTTACAACACATCTTAGCTTGTTAAGACCACGAAGCCCACTGGTGATGCCTATTGTCCCCCGGACGTCAAACGAGCACACAAGATTGACGGGCGTATCAACGAGAGGGCTGCCACCCGCGATCTCAACGACTCCGACTTCGATGATGCTGCTCAGTTGACTGGTGGATCTGAAGATGACGACGACGATGCCGACGACATCCCAGAGGCGCCGAAGAAATCGAGGAAGGCGGCATCCGCTGGCAACCGTGATATCCAGAATGCTATCATCCGCCGACCTGACCCCGCTGTCCAGCGCCGCTCTCGGTCAAACAACGTCGACCTCATTGGAAAGCTTGCCAATGCCTTTGATCCGAGTGTCCAACAAGCTCGTGATGAGGAACGTGCCCAGTGTTCCTTCCAAGCCTCGCAGATGTTCACCCTTTCCCAGCAACTTCGAGACGCCAACCTTACCATTGAGTCGCTCCGCTCCCAGCTCTCTACTCTCCAGACCCAGGTTCATGAGGCCCAGCGAGCCCGCGATCGTGCTGAGTTGCAGTTGCAGCTCATTGAAGAGGGTAGCCGCCAGTCTCGACCTTTCAGGAGGAGCCGCCACAATGGGTATGTCAAGCGCTCGAAGTCCACAAAGCGTTCAGTCCAGCGTGTCCGGGGAAAGTGTT